ACCCAATAAGAGAAACATATATTCAGAAGGATACCCGCCATCATTAACAGGCTGGAGAGATGCTGCTCTACCATTATTATTATTTCTTTTAAGTTTTTCTTTGAGACAGGGTTTCCCTGTGTAGCCCTGGCTGCCCTGGAACTCACTCTGTAGACCAGGAAGCTGTCTCTGCCTCCCCAGAGGGATGGAATCAAAGGTGTGCATCACCACAGAGCAGACTGCAAGATAGTTCTTAACCTTTGGCCCCCCTCTACACAATCTTTTTATGCTGGGAGAAATTGATTTTTACCCTAAAAGAAATGGAAAGTCACCGCAGAGCTCTGAGCACAGGAATTACATGGTCTAACATTAAACAAGCACATCAGCTTGTTTATTGAGCTATAACTCATATGCCACAACATTTACTCTCTTATGGCAAACAGTTCAATTTGTTTTTGTTTTTGTTTTGTTTTGTTTTTTTGTTTCCATAGTCATGCAACTGTCACCACTACCTAATTTTAGAATGTTTTTATTATATCAAAAGTAGTCCTGTATTCTTTAATAATTATTCCTTCCCTTAGTTCCTTGTAAATGCAAATTTAATATGTTCCTATTCTAAATATTTCATATTAATGTAATCATACAATGTATTTTTTTAAGATGGGCTTGTCATGTAGCATAAAATTTTCATACCTATTATAGCATGTACCAGTCCTTCATCCTTTTTAAAAATGTTTATAAACTTTATTATAGAAATAAACTTTGCAAATAAAATAAACATCATACATTAAAATTAACAAGACCCAAAGTCTAACATCTCAATGACTTCTATCCAGCTATTCTGCAGCTGTGGAATTCATACTGGATTTACATTTCACTATAGAATATATTTTTCTTCTCTCATCAACCACCAAAAATGAGAAAATTCCAACAAAAATTAAAACCAGAAAAAAAACTAGTTTTATACACTCTTTAATAATTAGTGTCCATTCAGAACTTCCTGATCCCCTGATATTTAGACTTTCTTCTTCTTTTCTGTGTTATATTTATATTGTACTCATATGTACAGTTGTTTGCATATAAAATATATTACTGGCTAGACCCTGCATATGAGGGAAATCATGTAACTTTTCCTCTCTGAGATTGTGTGACTTTGCTTAATATTATGCATTCTAAGCCTATCCGTTTTCCTGCAAATTTCATCCTTTTGGGGGGATTCAATTTCAAGGCAGGCTTTCTTGGTGTAGCCCTGGCTACCCTAGAACTTTCTCTGTAAACATGGCTCGCCTTTGGTTCCAGAGTACTGTGATTAAAGGTGTGCACTACCACTTCCTTTTACCTTTTTCTACGTCCTCAACAAGATTCCTGCAACTTTTTGCAGAATCTTTTTTTTTTCTTCCATTTTTTCATAATGAAACGTAAAGCAGAAATTTAAAGGCATGTGGGGTATATATAAGTAATCAAAGTTTTGTGACCATTTTGTTTTAGTTACACATCTGTATCTACAAGTGTGTGGTATGTGTTTGGTGTGAAATATTTCTGTGCACTATAGACCAGGATTTAAAAACAAGATCAAAGAATTTGAAGGTTGGAGAGATGATGGCTCAGTGACTAAAAAGACATCTCTCTTTCCCCCTCCCCCACTGGTATTTTTTGAGGAAGGGTCTCTCTACATAGCCCTAGTTATCCTGGAACCATGTAAACTGAACTAACCTCGAATTCAGAGATCCTCCTGCTTCTGCCTCCTGAGTGCTGGGATTATAGGACAGGTTGTGACTCCTGGCAAAGAGTTCACTTCATTTAAATTAAGGAGGACCTGAGTTGTTCCTAGCCTGTGCTCCAGCAGCAGGGGATGGCTCTAAGGCCCTCTTCGGGGCCCTGCACTTACAAGCACACACATTTAAAATTAAAATCTTTAAAAATTATTCGGAAGTCACCAACGAGACGCATTGTGGTGTTCTACACTGAAAAGGAGCTGGGCGTTTTGAATCCTTCCCTCAAAGTAGGCAGGAGTCTGTCAAACAGAGGCTCAGGAAATGATTCCATAAAACTGGTAGAGAAGCGCCGTGTACTTGTTTTTCCTCAAAGCTGACATCGATGGCGGGGCTGGGACACCTCAAGACAGAAAATGTGCATGTACGGGGCTAGGGGAGCCCACTAGCCCAAGGCATGGAGGAGGCTTGCAGATCGAACAGCTGCAGCAGCGACCCCTGCCTACAGTGCCTGTGGCTGTGAGACGACGGGCCCAAAGCTGAGCATGCGCAGTAGAAAGCCCCCCCCCCCCAGGGCGTGGAGGCTGCGCCCTCAGCTGTCGCAGCCGCCAGTCACTGCGAGCTGTCCCCGCCCCCTCGGCTGCCCGCCACGACTGCGCGCGCTGAGCCTCTGAGGGCGCCGGCGGGAAGGGAAGCGGCGGGTAAGCAGTGCGTGCGTCCGGTGTTTCTCAGGGTTGGGAGCTTCCTCGTGTCTGGCTCTCCGGACCGGGAAGATGCGAGTGACTGGTGCTTTGGAACGCACTTTTCCTCGGCTTTCCTCCTGCCACCTCCAGAGGCCCTCTGACCGTCCAAGTGTTGTCGCCGTCGCCGCAGCTTCCTCCCGTACACAGCGCCGCGGCCTCTGCTCTCCCCACCCCCACTGGGGAAACCCAAAGCCGGCTGCTGTCCCTGACTTCTGCCGGCTTTGTGGTCTGAAATTCCTTACCTGCTTGCGTTGTCAGTAGCACCGAGTTGATTTTCTGCCTTTAGTGTCGATCAGTTTAGGGAGAATTCTAGCTACAGACTCCAAACTCAAGCACAAAGAGTCTCAGTTGTTTTGATGCTCAACTGGACTTCTGATTACCTTACGGAATCAACTTTCAGATGCTCTTGAGAGGAAAATCGAGGCCACCGAAACATAGGTCCTCTTTAATTTCTCTGATCGTGTCCATCGTTAGCCAATAAACTGCTTTTCAAGTTGTATCTGTCGAGGCATAGTCCTTAGATCCCTCCCTATGCACTATCCCAGAACTATGTTTTTCCTATTTGTGTGTACAGTCATTTCCCATGCTACATTTTGGGATGAGGCACTCCACAGGCAATGGGATAGACTCAGCATTTACTGGGAACAAACATTTCGGCTCTCTACTGCCAAAGTGAATATTGAGATAACTGTTTCTTGTAATAGGAGGCATTTTGACTTAGTGGCTGTGCTTTGATACCTTGAGTAAGAGACAAATGTAGGAAACCTGGCATCACACCTCAGGGGTTCAAAATATGCTACCAGGGAGAATACAAAGCAGAAACAAGCCTGACAGCCATGTCATGATTAGTAACATCTACAGGTTGAATTTCTACATGAGGGAAATAGACTTCCTTGTAGGATGTAGGCATCCTGTTCATGCTGAAGTGAAATTTTAGTGGCCCCCTTCCAGCCTCTCAGAAAGTTTCTAGATAGCCATGATTATCAGTTTTATTATTAAGACAAGGTATCGCTATAAAGTCTTGGCTGTTCCAGAACTAAGAGATCTGCCTGCCTCTTCACGGCCACACCCAGCCCTAGCCTGTTTTTACTGATAATTTTGACTGAATGCTGTGTATCAACTATTTTTTTTTTTTGTTTTTTGTGTTCATTGGTGTTTTATCTACATGTATGTCTTTGTCAGAAGCCTTAGAACTTGAGTTATAGACAGTTGTGAGCCACCACGTGGATGATGAGACTTGAACTGGGGTCTTCTGGAAGAGCAGAGAAGCTGGTGCTCTCAATCACTGACCCATCTCTCCAGCCCCATGAACTAATTTTTTTAAAATGTCAGCTTACAACAGTTCTATCAATGTTATTACTAGTTTTCCTTCATACCTAAATTTCAAGACCTTAATCATCTTAAATTTTCCTCTGCTTTATCTGCCAGAATTCATGGTTTCTTTATTTAGTAACTTAAATTTATCCCTTTGAGTCTCATTGCAACCTGTCACATTACTTTATCTCCAGCTTATTGTTGTGACATAAGAAATGCTAAAAGGATTGGAGTTTTGTTATCTCCTATTCAATGCCTACTTGAAGAGCCCAAGAGTTCTGAAATAGCTATTGACATGTTTTTGTTAAACCTATAAAGATTTAGGTTCAAGTTTCTGTACTTGGGTTCCATTTTCTACAACCCAGTTTGATAATTCCTTTTCTTGTTTGTTTTTGGGGTTTTTTATTTTTTTATTTTTTATTTTTTTGAGACAGTGTTTCTCTAGTTCCTGCTATGAAGGGACTATCTTTAAAGAACTTTGTGTGTGTGTTTGTGTATGTGTGTGAGCTGGGGTTAAGATGGCAGGAGTATCTAACAAGGTTAACTATAGTATAGGCTATAATATAGTAAGATTAGGGTGGCTGAAAGTCTAGAGGAGGGAGAAACAGGAAAATGTTGTCTGGAAACACTATATTTGAACAGAGTCTTGGGTTATGACAAAGATTAATAAAGGCTTTGCATGTTAAGGGAATCATGCAAATTGAAAGATTTTAAGCAGACATTTGAGCTGGTCACAGCTGATTTTTAGAAGTTCATCCTGCCAGCCAGGAAGTGGTGGTACACACCTTTAGTCCCAGCACTCGGGAGGCAGAGGTAGGCAAATCTCTGTGAATTTGAGGTCACCCTGATCTACAGAGTGAGTTCTAGGACAGTCAGGACTGTTACACAGAGAAATCCTGTCTAAAAAAAAAAACAACAAACAAAAAAGTTCATCCTGCCTAAATGTCTACTTGTAGCAATCCAACTTCTGCCTTCGAACCTTTATTCCTTTACCCAAGAAGGGTTTATTATCATTCCTCACACTTTACTGCTATTTACCTTTTAGTGCTCAATTTAATGCTTATTTCTTCTGTGAAGCATCCTTTGGTGTATACATTCCATCACCAGAAAGTGTATTAGAAATCATACCATACAATTTAGCCCTTATTTGTTTGGTATGTGTTTTATGATCCTAAATAAATGATAGAGAATGTTTCATCTAATTGTGAATATAAAATATATTAACACAAAGATATGTTGTTTGATCTTGCAGATAATGGGTAACAGTCAGTATCTTTAACTAACCTGTGATCATCATGTCTAAGGAGGAGTGTGCCAAGGCTGGTGATAGTTCATTCTCCTCTGATAAGCATGCCCAGCTCATCTTGGCCCAGATCAACAAAATGAGAAATGGGCAGCACTTCTGTGATGTACAGCTACAAGTTGGGAAGGAAACCTTCCAAGTTCATCGGTTGGTCCTGGCTGCCAGTAGTCCATACTTCGCAGCTTTGTTCGCCGGAGGAATGAAAGAGTCTTCCAAAGATGTTGTACAGATTCTAGGAATTGAAGCTGGAATCTTTCAGTTACTTCTAGATTTCATTTACACAGGTATATCCATGTATTAGCTTTCTTTTGCTGCAATAAGATATCATGACCAAAGTAACTTATATAAATTTATTTATTTGTAAAGGTGTAATGTATTCTTATTCTATATGAATGAATGTTTTACCTGCATGTGTAGAAGTGTACCACTTGCATGTAATACCTATAAGATCAAAAGAGGGCATTGAATCTCCTAGAATAGGAATTATAGATAGTTATGAGCCACCATATGTGTTGGGAACTGAAGACATGTCCTCGGGAAATGCAGCAAGTGCTTTTAACTTCTGAGTCATCTCTCCAGCCCTTAATTACTCTTAAAGTTAGGAAACAAGTACTTTATTTGTTCTAGTTTTGACAACATACTAGTTCTTCTTAAGAAAGTATGTAGAAGGATCTAGTTGGATGTTTCAGTGGGTAGAGGTCCTTACTACCAAAGCCTCTTGACCGGAATTTAATCCCTGAAACCCACATGGAGGAAGAAGAGAGCTGACTCCAGGAAGTTGTTCTCTGACCTTCATTCGTGGTGTAGTGATGTGCATGTACGCACAAACACACATAGGGTGGGGGTGGGGGGAAATATTTACATGTCCCAGTAAAGTATTTTGCTTTTTAAATGCTTGCTATTTGAGGCTGGAGAAATGTTCCCATGGTTAACACCACTTACTGTTCTTTCAGAGGATCCAGCTTTGGTTACCAGCATCTGTATAGCCCTCAAAACCAACTGTAGTTCTAGTTCCAGGGAATCCAATGAACTCTTTTGATCTCCACCTGTATGTCTATGGTGTAATACATACAGTCACACATGTACATATATATATATATATATATATATATATATAAAATAAATATTTTTAAATTTGAGAAAATACAAAATGATTTGTTTTCTTGTATTTGTTCCTTGGAAATTTTCAGTAAGCAATGATAAAATTACTTCTGCAGCATATATATATATAATATATATATATATATATATATATATATATTATATATATATATCACCTTGCCGGATCCTATGGTCTTATACTTTTAAACCTAAATTTGTATTCAAAATACTCTTCCTGTTACTTTAACCCTTTTGGTTATTCACTCATAAATAATTTTTTGAACATCTAGTTTGACTAGATCATTGGGAATAGAGAAGGCAAGCCATGTCTGAACAAACTTTAATATATATATATTAAATCATTATATATATATATATATATATATAAAATTTTCTTCCCCCAAGACAGGGTTTTCCTGTAACAGCCTGGCTATTCTGGAACTTGCTCTATAGACCAGGCTGGCCTCAAACTCAGAGATTGACCTGCCTCTGCCTCCCAAGTGCTGGGATTACAGGCATGTATCACTATGTCCAGGCCAAATTTTATAAATAGAACCAAGAAAATTAGACAAATAGTTTAATGCAGTGATTGTTATAAAAGGCTGGGGGTGGCCAGCTATGGTGGTATATACCTTTAATCCCAGCACTCAGGAAGCAGAGGCAGGAGGATCTCTGTGAGTTCAAGGGCATCAAGGTCTATATAACAAGTTCAGGTCGGCCAGAGCTACAGTGAAACCCTATCTAAAGAAATAAAATAAAATAAAAATAGAGTATAGTTTAGTGATAAAGTGCTTATCTATTATGTACAAGGCTCTACGTTGTCGACAGATTCTTAAAAGAGATAAAAGTATAAGACTAAGAAGCACTAATTAAGAGCACTTGCTGTTCCAGGACCCAGGTTCAATTCCCAGCACCCACATGGCAGATCACAGCTACCCATGACTCCTGTTCTAGGAGATCCAACACTCTCACACAGACAATACATTTAGGCAAAACACCAATGCATGTGAAATAAAAATTTAAAAAAGCACAAGACTAGATAGAAAGTTTATTAGGTAAGAGAATTATAGTGTTTCTACTACCTTAAATATAGTTAGCTATTTGATGTCCTCCAAAGATGTTCATAAAGTATGAAAGTGAAGCGGAGTATGGCAGCACGTAATTACAATCCCAGTTGGGGAGTAGAGGCAGAAGAACTAGGAACTCAAGGTCATCCTCAGCTATACAGTGAGTCTGAGACCTTGTCTTAGAAAAGAAAATGAACATGGAGTCTTTGGGGGAAGAAATCCAAATATTTAGGGAAAATGTTTAGTAGTTTCTCCTGTGTTAATAGATTCTTAATTATACCTCATATTAAAAAACTAACACTGTATGACATTTTATCATAAAAGAATATAATAAATCTGCTTTCTTCCCCCTCCCTAGTAACTCAGTAAGTTTGTTAATTGCATATAATCTATGTTAAAAGTATAAATTTTACCAGATGTAGTGTGCACTCCTTTAATCCCAGCACCCTGGATGCAGAGACAGGAAGATTGGGAGTTGGAAGCCAGCTTGCTCCATATAGTGAGACTTTGTCTCAACAAGCAAGCGGGGTGTTGGCTTTAATGTCAGTCTCTAATCTGCAGCTTACTCAGTCAAACAATATTTTCAAAACTTTTTTTGTCTCTTCAAGACAGGGTTTCTCTGTGTGGCTTTGGAGCCTGTCCTGGATCTCACAGAGATCCACCTGCCTCTGCTTCCCCAGTGCTTGGAATTAAAGGCCTTTGCCACCACTGCCTGACTTCAAAAACATTTTTAGAGAGTTATTCATTTTTAAGTTCTGTGTAAGAGTTTTCACCTGCATGAGTGTATGTGCATCACATGTGTGCAGTGCCTGCAGTGGCCAGAGAGGGCTTTGTATTCCTAAGGGAAATTAAGTTATAGGCCACTGTGAGTCATCCTGGAGGTGCTAGGCACTGAACCATGGGTCCTCCGCAAGAACCGAAAATGAAGTTACTGCTTAGCCATCTCTCCAGCCTTTCTGTCATATAATTTGGAGAAGAATTGTTTAAACTCCTTAATTCTGTTTACTTAATACAATAAAATTTATATCTACTATCCAGGATTACAGTGAATATGTAAATGAGTATAAAGCAACTAAAAGTGTGACTGGTTTATTATAGTTATTCCATAAATGTTGGGGTTTTTGTTTTGTTTTGTTTTTTCCAGACAGGGTTTCTTTGTGTAGCTTTAGAGCCTGTCCTGGAACTCGCATTGTAGACCAGGTTGGCCTTGAACTCACAGAGATTCATCTGCCTCTGCCTCCAGAGTGCTGGGATTAAAGGTGTGCACTACCACTGCCCTGCGATGGGTTGTTTTTTTGTTTTGTTTGAGATGGAGTCTCATTATACAACACTGGCTGTCCTAGAACTCACTTTGTAGATCAGGCTGGCCTTGAACTCACAGAAAGCCTCTTGTCTCTACCTTCCAAGTGCTGGTAGATTAAACACATGCATCACCACATCAGGCCTAGTTGTTCCTAGTTAAATATCATTGTCAATTTAATTACTCCCATATATCCTGTTTACTTAGTTTCTACTCTGCAAAAATTAAACTATTATTGAAGGCAAGTTAAATATTAAGCCAAATGTTTGTTTTGACTCATTGACTATTTTATCTTCCTGTTTCCTTAGGACTAGTGAACATAGCTGTGAATAATGTTCAAGAGCTGATTGTTGCAGCAGACATGCTACAGTTGACTGAAGTTGTTAATCTTTGCTGTGATTTTCTGAAAGGACAAATTGATCCACAGAACTGCATTGGACTCTTTCAGTTCTCTGAGCAGATTGCCTGCCATGATCTTTTGGAATTTACAGAAAACTATATTCATGTCCATTTCTTGGAAGTTCATAGTGGAGAAGAGTTCCTGGCGCTTACAAAAGATCAGCTGATCAAAATTTTACGAAGTGAGGAGCTTAGCATTGAAGATGAGTACCAAGTTTTCTTAGCTGCAATGCAGTGGATTCTGAAAGACCTGGGAAAGAGAAGAAAGCATGTGGTAGAAGTGTTAGATCCAATTCGATTTCCTTTATTACCATCTCAGAGGCTTTTAAAGTACATAGAAGGTAACTCTTATACTTTGTATCAAATTAGTTGATCTCTAAAATTTTTTTACTGTTGTGTGTTGTTTGTGTGTGTGTGTGTGTGTGTGTGTGTGTGTGTATGCAGATTTGTGTAAAGAAGGTGTGTGTGCATGCACTTAAAGGCCAGAGGTTGACCTCAGGTGTCTTCCTCAGTTGCTCTTGACCATATGTTTTGAGACAGGATCTCTCATTGAACCTGGAGCTTGCTGATTCATCTAGACTGGCTAGCTAACAAGTCCCAGGTTTCTTATTGTCTCCATCTCCCCAGCTCTGGGATTTCAGGCTCATGCCACCATGTTGGGCATTTTCACAAGGGTGCTAAGGATCAAACTTAGGTCCATATCCTTTGGTCAGAAGTAGTTGGCCAACTGAGCCATTTCTCTAGCACCACAAGTGGCTTTTTCTTATCTGAAACTGAAATGTGGTAGGATTTTTGTATGTGTGTGTATTTTTTATTTTGTATTTTTTGACAGGGTTTCTCTGTTTAGCCTTGGCTGCCCTGGAACTTGCTTTGTATGTAGTCTAGGCTGGCATTGAACTCATGGAGATCTACTTGCCTCTGCCTCAAAAATGCTGGGATTCAAGGTGTGTGCCACCACTGGGCTTTTTTTTTTTTTTTTTTTTTTTTTTTTTTTAATGTTCTACAACATTAATGTCGCTGGGTGGTGGTGGTGCATGCCTTTAGTCCCAGCCCCTGGAAGGCAGAGGCAGCTGGATCTCTGTGAGTTCGAGACCAACCTGGTCTACAAGAGCTAGTTCCAGGACAGCCTCCAAAAAAAGCCACAGAGAAACTCTGTCTTGAAAAACAAACAAAAATCAGCACTTCATGTCATTCTTGAAATTAATTATTAATAATAGAAGATAATAGTATTGTAGAGACTGACAGAACTAACACTGCTATGCTGTTGAGAGTACCAGCTTTTTCTGATCATTCTTTGCTGTTTGATTGAGGAGGCAGTATGACTTCCCCCTCACACTGCTGCCACCATGCCTCTCCTGCCATGACACTCTGTAACCTCAAACCCTAACTTACTTAAAAGAAGTTTTCTATTACAACTTTGAAATACTCACCAAAACTTAATATCTGTAGCCATGGGGCAGTGGTGGGATTGGGATTGGCTAGAGAGACGGTTCAGTGGTTAAGAGCAGGTTTGATGCCCAGAATACAAATGGTGATTCATGACCACCATAACTCCAGTTCCAGAGTATCTCACCTGGCATCCTCTGGCGCCAGGCATGCAAGTAGTGCACAGACATATATGCAAACAAAACACCAGTGTACATTAAACAAAGGAATAAATGAAATGATAAACCAATAAATAAATAACTACATTAAAAATTCATATAACCTGGTTGAGGTCACAGGCCTGTAACACACCCACCTACCCCATATCCTGTCCTTGGGAGGCTGAGGGAAGATTGTATTTGAGGCCAGAATGGTTTACATAACAAGTTCCAGGCTAACTTGGTATGTGGCAAGTTCCTGGCTCCATTCAATCAATCAGTCAATCAATCAAACTTCAACAACAAAAAGCTATTCCTATATTACCACAAACAAAATCAAAACTTGATACTGCTGCAAATCCTATAGCTATAACTTGAGGTTTGTTTGCTTGTTTGTTTTTTCAAGACAGTGTCTCACTATGTAGTTCTGGCTGTTCTGGAACTCACTCTGTAGACCAGGCTGGCCTCTAACTCAGAGATCTGCCAGCCTCTACCTCCTGAGTACTGGGATTAAAGGCATGCACCATTCCACTTTTCTTGAGTTTTACATTGATATTGTATTAAGGCTTTGTGTAAACTTTGACTCATCTTTGGGGGTTCTAAGCATTTTCTTTCTTTCTTTTTTTTTTTTTTTTTGTCATTGTTAGAGATTTTTTAATTATTTTAAGGTGTAGTCTAGGCTGGCTGAAGCTCATAATCTTCCTGGTGGGGTTTCTAGTTCTGAAGTAACAATAGCTGAAAGGAAACACACACACATACACAATTAATAATGAAATAAAACATTAAAAATCACAATAACCTAGCAGCTGACTTTGGACTGTAACTTAGTGATAGAGTGTATGAAAAAGCAAGGGTTTAATCCATACTATAGCAAAAACCAACCACCTAATGATAAATTACCCAGAGTTAGCCACCCAGGAATAATCATTTTGACACAGCCAAAGTGGCTCATGCATGTAATACCTAGCACTTGGCTGACAAAGGAGGATTGCCATTTAAGATCAGATTGATTTACATGTGGAGTTACAATGCAGCATGGGATATAGTGCAAGACTATCTTCAAACAATAACAACACTGGGTATGGCACATACTTTTAATTTCAGCACTTGGGTGTAGAGGTAGGTGGATCTCTGTGAGTTGGATGCCAACCTGCTCTACAGAATGAGTTCCAGGACAGCCAGAGCAACACAGAGAAATCCTGTCTCAAAAGACACACACACACATATATATGTACACATACGTACATACACAATACATTTATATAAATTCTAAATAGTAGCAACTATCTGCTAAGAAAAATTAAGGTCTTAACATTTTTATTTTTCTTTCCATCCACTTTTCTGTCTAAGCCCTCAAGGTTTATAGCCATTATTTATATTTATGTTTACAATCATGAGTCCCTTGGTTTTATGCCTTTAGCTCTGTATTCAGATGATTTTAATGCCAACAGATTATCAGTTATAGTTTGAGTGTTTAAGATAGGGTCACGTGTATCTGGGGTTGATCATTAACTAAATATGTAGGCAAGAATGACCTCACACTTCCATTCTTCTTGACACTATCTCTCAAATGCTGGCTTATAGGCGCATGATACCATACCCAGCTTCAAATATGGTATTTCCGTTACCATATTTCCCTTTTTGGGTTAGTCAGATTAAAATTTTATTTTTACTATTTTAAATTTTTATGTATGTATTTTGCTTGCACGTATGTCTATGTATCATGTGTATGCCTGGTGCCCAAGGAGGCAAAAAGAGGGTGGTCCATATCCTCTGGAACTGAAGCTACAGATAGTACCACATGGGGGTACTAAGATCTGAACTTGGTCCTTTGCAAAAATATCAAGTGTTCTTAACACTTGAGCTTCATGGATTGGCTGAACTTTTTTGTTTATGTTTGATGACCTAATTTTATCAAGTTTTTCTTTAATTTGTTTTGCTTTATTTGGTTTGGCTTGTTTCTTGAGATAGGGTTTCTCTGTGGAGCTTTGGCTATCCTGGAATTTTCTATGTAGACTAGGCTGGCCTCTAAGGCACAGAGATCCACCTGCCTCAGCCTCCTGAGTGCTGGGATTAAAAGCATGCAGCACTATGTCTGTCATTTTTCTAGAAAAACATGACTGTTTTAGTTCCTGAATCTTTTCAAATTTGAAAATTCCTGGGTGTTGCTTTTTTAATTAAATTTTGGTTTGTATAATATTCTTTAGTTGTGATGGTATTCCTGTTCTTTTTTGATTTGGTAAGGCATAGTTGGTTTTTTGGGGGGTGGGGATGCTTGTGTTATTTTGTATGGTTGGCTTTGGGTTATGAGAATGCGTGTGAAGGTCAGAGAACAACTTGTAGGAGTGGTGTGGATTCTTTCCTTCTACCTTATGAGTTCTAAGGATTAAACTTAAGTTCTTCAGGCTTGATAATAAATGCTGTGACCCACCGAACCATCTCAAATCTATAAGACAGTTCGTTCTTGTTTTCAGTGATTTCTTTTTTCTGGTTGAATGCCTTACTGATTCTTTTTTTGTTGTTGTTTTGGTTTTTTTTTTTTTTTTTTTTTTTTTTTGTTCTTTGAGACAAGGTTTCTCTGTGTAACAGCTCTGGCTGTCTTGGAATTTGCTGTGTAGACTAGGCTGGCTTTGAGCTTCCAGAGATCCACCTGCCTCTGCCGAGTGCTGGGATTACAGGCATGTGCCACCACCACCTGGCTTATAGATTCTTTCATTATTCTTGGTGTTATTGTTGTTTTTTTTTTTTGTTGTTGTTTTGAATTTTGCTATTTTTTTAAAATTAGTTTCTCTCACATTTTCTTTGTTTTTGAAGGTTCTGAGTGTGAGGGGGCATTGTGTAATTCCAGTACAGGTGGCAAAGACAGTAGAATCATTGCAAATTTGAGGCCAGCCTAGACTACGTAGTGAGTCAACCTGAACTAAAAAGTAAGGTCCTGGAGCCGAAGAGATAGCTCAGCAGTTAAGAGCCCCAGCTGTTCTTCCAGAGGTCCTGAGTTCAATTCCTAGCAACCACATGGTGGCTTACAACCATCCATAATGAGATCTGGTTCCCTCTTCTGACCTGCAGAAACATATTCAGGCAGATCATTGTATACATAATAAATAAATCTTAAAAAAAAAAAGAAAAGAAAAGGTGAGGTCCTGTTTCTCCAAAAACAAAATGAGTTTAATTTTTCCTTCTCTTTGGGGAGTTTTTTTGAAATACTGAATACATTTTTTTTTTTTTTTCCAAGACAGGTTTTTTCTGTATTGCTTTGGAGCTGTCCTGGAACTGGCTCTGTAGACCAGGCTGGCCTCAAACTCACAAAGATCCACTTGCCTCTGCCTCCCAAGTGCTGGGATTAAAGGCATGTGCCACCAGTGCCCTGCTTAATGGATAATTTGGTGGAAGAATGAATAATTAAAAAGCAAAGCAAAGAAAATTGAGAAATAAAATAATCAGTACAGTATTTTGGTTGGGGTAGAGTTCAGATGTGGCACTAGGTTTGATCCCAAGTAAGGACATGAACCCTAGTAGGGCTTTCTTCCACCACCCTCATGTTTCAGGTTAGAAAGACAGTGAGACGTTTTATACTGCAGAATACAAAGTAATTGTACAAAGATAAAAAGAATGAGAGGGAGAATTAGTTCTTTGTCAGAGCATGGTTTGAATAAGAAGGCCATGTAAACAAGATACAAAAAAAAAAAAAGTAGATCCCAGGGAAAAAAAGAGAAAGAAATTGAAGAATTTAGCCTGGGTGAGTTGGGGTGGGGTTGAGGGGGAGATTAGTCATAAACAGTAACACAATCCTCTTGAAATTCAGACAATAGAGTTACTTGAAAACGATAAATTTTATGAAACAGGAATGTAGCAGGAGATGCAGTACTAAGGAAACAAAGTGATAATTGAAACACCAGGCATATACATGGTGCACAGACATGCATGCAGACATTCATACTCATAAAAAGAATTAATTACACAAATTTAAAAGATTTTTTATTTGTTTCTTGCTTTGTCTTATCATTTTGAAGGTTTATAACATAAACGTATTTTCTTTTTGTTATTATATTTTATGAAAAAAGCTTGTAACTTTTAAAGCATTTTCTTAGAACCCAGGTACTCACACATGTAGGCAAGTGAACCTGGCCCTGATAATTGTGAATTTAGTTCATTTTGCCATCTCTGTCTGGAAAGCATTCTCCATCTATTTGCAATTTTCTGTTGTTGATTTTTGAGACAGTGTTTCTCTGTGTAACAGCCATTGCTGTGCTGAAATGCACTATGTAGACCAGGCTGGCCTCCAACTCACAGATACCTGTCTGCCTCGGCCTCTGCCTCTGTCTCCTGAGTGCACTTCCTGGCTGGTATTGCTTTTTAAAATATTTTTTAAAACTTTTAAACTACTTTTTTTTTTTAATCTACTTGTGTGCGTGGGTGTGGGTGTGTGTGTCAGGGGAGAGGGTCCTGAGTATACCTCAGCATGAGTGCAGGTCAGCAGACAGTTTGAGAGAGTCGCTTCTCTTCTTCCTCCATATAGACCCCTGAGGGCTTGGCAGCAAATGCTTTTACCTGTTGAACCATCTCCCTGGACTCTTTAAAACGGTTGGGTAGATTTAAGGAAAGTATATTCCTTAGCAGCAATGATAAAAAATAACATTTTCTGTTGTAATAAACATACTGTTGTTTAATGATAAGTTTGGGTTTTTTAATGGTTTTATTTATTTATTTTTGGTTTTTCAAGACAGGGTTTCTCTGTTTCTCCTGGAACTCACTCTGTAGACCAGGCTGGCCTCAAACTCAAAGAGATCTGCTTGCCTCTACCTCCTGAGAGCTGTGATTGACGGATTTATTTTATCTTAAATACTGTATATGTGTGTAAGTATGTGCATGTGAGTTTGGGTACCTTCAGGGTGTGGGTGCCCATGGATGTGGATCTCTTTGAGCTGAAATTATAAACTGGGAACTGAACTACTAGAACAGTATACTCCATTAGCTTTCTCTCCAACACTGGTGATGAGGGTATTTTCCCTGTTCTTTTTAGCTGCTGTTTTTTTGTTTTTGTTTCATTTGTTTTCTTTTTGAGACTGGGTCTCACTGTTTAGACCAGGCTGGCCTCGGACTTGAAGAGATCCACATGCCTCTGACTCGTGAGTGCTGGGATTAACAACTTGTGCTACTCTGATTGACCAGCAAATGTGTCTTTTCAGTAATATGTGAAAGTCTTTTAAAACATTGTTTTTTAAATACTGTTTAGGAGTATCTGATTTTAATCTTCGAGTTGCATTGCAAACACTTTTGAAAGAATATTGTGAGGTCGGCAAGTCTCCCAAAGAGAACAAGTTTTGTAGTTTTCTGCAGACATCCAAAGTTCGACCTCGGAAGAAAGCAAGAAAATACCTGTATGCAGTAGGTAAGAAGCTCTCAAAAATAATAGAGATTATTTTCAGGATAAGATCTTTTTAATAGTTTGCTGTTATTACTATGTAGGTATTACTAATATACAAATCTATCAAAGCATTTAATTTCATATTTAGGCTTAAGACTAGTAAATTGAATTTGCATAATTTAAAACTTAACAGCTCCTCATTCAACATTTAATTCAATGTTCTGAATCTTTGGTCTCTACCTAATTACCATCAAATGTCTGCAGATTCATTTATTATGTATATGCACATGCATGCATCATAGTATGTGAGTGAACATGAAAGGACAATTTAAGGGAATTGGTTTTCTCTTCCCACTTTGTAGGGATTGAACTCTGGTCATCAGGCTGAACAGCAGTTCGTTGCCTTTATTGCTGAGGTATTTCACCAGCACAAGAAACATTTCTGTAAAAGTTAAAATTTTGCCAGGCATAATGGTTCATGCCTACAAGTCTGGCATTCTGAGACTGAGACAGGAATGCTGTGAATTCAAAGCCAGCTTGGGTTACATAGTAAATTCTGGGTCAATCTAGGCTACAGTATGACACTATCTTAAAAAAAAAAAAAAAAGCAAACCTAAATAAATAAATTGATTAAAGATCTTAAATTCAAGTGAAAAACAGGGAAATAGAACTGTTGTTTTAGGTGGTCATTAGGGGTGGTAGATAAGTGGTTTTTAAAGTGTCAGCAGCACGATCCTTAAAAATATCAGAGGACTCTTTCTGCCATCTTGGCTTCTCTGGAAGCATGTTGGGAAAAGAAGTTTCAAAAGCAAATATGTCTGGAAGACTGTGGTGTGAGGCCATTTTTGCTGGCTATAAGCAAGGTCTCCAGAACTAAGGAGAGTACACAGCTCTTCTTAAAACTGAAGGTGTTTGTCCCTGGCAACAGAAGGAGTTCTTGGGAGAATCTGATCCAGCCAGGCATGTTTCTGGGCCAGAGCTCCAGGGCTACAAATCCAGAGTCCCTCCAGGGTTCACAGGATGTCCATTGAGTTACTTGGCCATCTGTGAGCCAGTTGGTGACTGAGGCTTGGGGTGTAACATGAAATAAACACTTTGTTCCCCACCTCAAACAAACAAACAAAAAAAGAAACCCAAAAAACTGAATGTGTTATCCCTGAGATGAAACTGAATTCTACTTAGGCAAGAGATATGTACATAAAGCAGAAAACAACACAGTGATTACTGGAGGCAAACCAAACCGAACTAACCTGGGGAAAGGAAACTTGGACCCATGTGTCAAATTCCAAAGCAACCTTCCTATGAAAGTCACTGGGCAGAGAGTTTCTGTCCCGGTAGTCCCAAACAAACACACAGAGGCTTATATTAATTATAAACTAGGCAATGACTCAGACTTCTTATTGGCTAGCTTTCTCTTAATTTATTAATCCATTTCTATTAATCTGTGTATCTCCATGTGGTATTAGCTTACCTGTGATGCCCAGACCTCTTGCTCACTCAGCAGGTACATGGTGTCTCCTTCACTGCACCTAATACTTTTCTTTATCCCTATTTGGATTTCCTGCCTGACTAAATCCTGCCTGTCCATTGGCCAAAACATTTTTATTCATCAACCAATAAGAAAAACATATTCACAGCATACAGAAGGACATCAAACATCAGTAGGAAGGCAGAGGGAGGCACATCTCTTGAGTTTGAGGCAATGTACACAGCCAGGGTTATGTAGAGAGACCCTGTCTCAAAATTTTTTAAAAAGTGGATTTGTGTAAAAAAGTATCAGAGAAACGTTAAAAATTTTCATTTTAAACCATTAAAGTTGATAGGTATAGAGAATGTATGGTTGTCCAGAAATCTAGATATACTATAGTTTCTATATAATTTTTTATGTATAATGTAGATTACAATTATATATGATTAATTTTATGTATATTTTACCATATAACAATATGTAAACATTCTTTTGGAGTATATACCAAAGTTTTTAGGTTTGGTTTGTTTTTTGATTTTTGTTTTTTTGCTGTACAGGGAAAATATGAATTTCAATCCACTATTTTTACTTCATATTACTTTTATTGTTTGTTTTGTTTTGTTTTGTTTTTAGAGGAAGGATTTCTCTGTATTACCATGGTTGTCTTGGAGCTCACTGTATGTAGACCAGGCTGGCCTCAAACTCAGAGACCCACCTGCCTCTAAGAGTGCTGGGACTAAAGGTGTGCACTACAACTACCCAGCTTTTGCTTTAGTTTTTAAACTTATTTTTTATTATTGTGTGTATGATCTATGTATGTTCATGCACATGCCATGTGCATGTGTGGAGGTCAGAGAACATTTGTGGAGTAAGTTATTTCCTTTCATCTTAATGTGGGTTCCAGGAACTGAATTCAGGGTTTCAGGCTTCTGTGAAAAATGCCTTTATTCACTGGTCATCTCAACAGCCTTCAATCCACATTTTAAAAGATATATTTTATTTATTTATTTATTTATTTTTTATTTCTGGAAACAGGGTTTCTCTGTATTGCTTTAGAGCCTGTCCTGGAACTAGCTCTGTAGACCAGGCTGGCCTTGATCTTACAGAGATCCACCTGCCTCCACCTCCTGAGTGTTGGGAATAAAGATGTCTGCCACTACCACCTGGCTTATTTTTTAATTTTAATTATATGTATATATGTGTGTATCTCTGTGTGGAAATGTGCATGTTTGAGTACAGGTGCCTGCAAACTCCAGAAGAGAGCATCAGATCCCTGGAATTACAGGTGGTTCCCTAGTCCTCTGCAATAATATGCACATAACCACTGAGCAATCTAACCATCCCCTCAATGCACTGCTTTTTAAAAATATTATTTCATTTATTTTTATTTTATGTGCAATGGTGTTTTGCCTGCATGTATGTCTGTGTGAGGGTGTCAGATCCCTGCAACTGGAGTTACAAACAGCCATGAACTGCCATATGGATGCTGGGAATTGAAACCAGGTTCACTGGAAGAACATCCAATGCTCTTGACCACCAAGCCATCTCTCTAGGTCCATCAGTGCACTATTTTTAATTGAGACATTTAGAGGTGATAATGCAACTTTATAATTAGACAAAGAATGTTGCCTAGATTTATATTTTATATAGTCTTCTATTATAACTGAGAGAGATGGTAAAACATTGAGGTTAACCTTCTCATTGCATGGGTAAGCCATAATTTTCCAGGGCTTGGCATAATTGAGAGTTACATATTTTAAATACTATTTTTATAGAGGTGACAGGCACTAAGCTGTATAAATGTTTAGATACAGGGCCCTGTATTTTCTTTATTACTGCCATTTTCACATTTACAATAAGTGGTTTGCTGTATATTTTTTCCTTCTCTGATTAGGTGGATATACACGGTTGCAGGGGGGCCGTTGGAGTGATAGCAGAGCCCTTAGCTGTGTAGAACGTTTTGATACCTTTAGTCAGTACTGGACCACTGTTTCTTCACTTCATCAGGCTCGATGTGGACTTGGAGTAGCAGTTTTGGGAGGGATGGTCTACGCTATTGGAGGTAACAATAAAAATATCTCATTTCTCTCATTAATCTACTTGACTACATTGTATATGTGCTCCCCCCCAACTATGTAATGTACTTTGATCATCTTCATTCTCTTTAGTTTTCTCCCATCTCTTTGAACTTTCCTTTATGCCATTATGCACTTCACATTTAACGTTCTACACCAAAACCTGTCGTTTCCTCCCATGACTTGCCATATACTGGATAGTAATGATGATTTGCCTAGTGGGTAAGAACAAAGCTTTAAACGTACTTTTTTGTTCCTTCAGTACTGAGTAATTAATCCTAGGGCCTCGTGTATGTGAAGCAACCACTACTACTGAGCTAAAGCCCCCTCAAAGCTTTTGTCATTCCATGTTGTCTTCCTTTCACGAATACAGTCAGTCCATCTGTATTTATGTCACTATATCTGCTTCAAGATTATAATAGCCAAGTCTAGTTGTTTCTGTTTTTATCTCTAAAGCCTATTCTTACATTATGAATCTATTCATGTTATTGTCCTATTCTCTTTTTGTTGTTGTTGTTTGTTTTTGAGACTGGGTTTCTCTGTGTATCCCCAGCTGTCTTAGAACTCACTCTACAGATCAGGCTGGTCTTGAACTCACAGAGACCCACAAGCATCTGCCTCCCAAGTGCTGGGATTAAAGGCATGCACCACCACCACCGAACTTATTTTTCTTTTCTTATAAGTTCATTTATGTTAAGAAACTCTGTACCATTTTATTTAAAAAATATTATTGTTTTATTGTTACAGTTATGTATATAATAAATCTGGAATTGAGTTTTTATGGATAATAGGCAATAATAACTCCCCACATATATAACCAGTTATCACAGCCAGTATAAAAGACTTATTCCCCATTGTTCTGTAGTAACTTTGACATATCCTGGAATGTCATGTTTCTTTAGTTTTTTATCTGTCCCTATCTTAATTACTTTGACTCTCTTAAAAATTCTTAGTTTAGGGCCAGCAAAATGACTCAGCAGATGAAAGTGATTACACCTGAACCCGAGTTTCCTGTGTGCTGGCTATTGTTTAATCAACTTGACCCAAGATAAGGTCCTTGGGAAAGGAAGAATCTTTTTTTTTTTTTTTTTTTTTTTTTTTTTTACATGTCCATCCCAGTTCCCTTTCCCTCCCTCCCTCTCTCTCCCCCCACATATGCACCCTGACCACCCTCCCCTCCCATGCCCCCATCCCAATTCCACATGTAGGGTGATGCCATCCAGGTGGGGTCGTGTAAATCTGTCAAGTCATTTGAAGTAGGGACTAGGACTTCTCTCCTGTCTCTAGGTTAAGGCAGTATCCCTCCATGGGGAATGTGTCCGCAAGGTCCTTTTGTGCACCAGGGATACATCCTGGCTCCACTGTTTAAGGTCCCTTAGACTGCTCAGTCCTTCTAGCTGAGACCCATATTCAGGGGGTCTGAGTCAGTCCCAAGCTGGCTTCCCAGCTATCAGTCTGGGGGCCCATTAGCTCCTCCTTGTTCAGGTGAGCTGTCTCTATGTGTTTCTGCAATCTGGTCTTGTCCCCTCCCTCTGCATCTGGATTCTAGTTCGACTCGGTGTTTACTTATGGGTGTTTGCTTCTGTTTTCAACAGGTACTTGATGAGGGCTCCATGATGGTGGATAAGTTAGGTGTTGCTCTCACTATCAGGGAAGGGCATTTATGGTAGCCTTTCCACGGTTGCTCAAATTGTTAGTTGGAGGCAATCTTGTAGGTCTCTAGACCTTTCTTTATGTTCAGTTTTCTCTTCAAACCAATAATAGCTCCCTCTTTTATGTTTGTTCTCTCTCTCTCTCTCCTGTCTTCTATTCCTACCCCGACTCAATCTTCCTAGTTGCATGTGCTTTCCTTTCCTCCCCTTTTCTTTCTCCTAGTTCCCTCTCCATTCACTGCCCCCACCCCACTTCCCATGTGCTCTGAGGGACTTGTCCCTTCCCCCTTCTGTGAGGGACTTTATATGAATCTTTTAGAATACACCTTGTATCTTAGTTCCTCTGGTGGTATGAATTATAGGCTGGTGTGTAAGGAGTACGGTTTTCCACCTGCCGCCGCTGGTCTTGTCCCACAGCCATGCCAGCCCCAAATAATGCACAGAGACTCTGTATTTGATATTATGCTGTTGGCCAGGTGCTAGTTTCTTATCGGCTAGCTCTGTCTTAATTATTAACCCATTTTTATGTATTTCCACGTGGTCTTACCAGCGAGAGGCAGCTGGCGGTTCTATTCTCTCCAGACTCCCCATCTTCGCTCCTCCTTCCTCCTTCCTATTTCCTCCTTGTCTCCTAGTCCCTCCTATCTCCTTTCCTATTGGCCAACAGTGTTTTATTCATTAACCAGTATGAGAAACATATACAGAATGACATCTCCCATCACTGGTGATCCTTTGCTCTAGGTCTAAAATCCATATATGAGCAAGTATATACCATGTTGTTCTTTTTTGTGACTGGGTTACCTCATTCAGGATGGTTTCTTCAAGTTCCATCCACTTGCCTGCGAATTTCAAGATTCCATTATTTTTCTTCTGCAGAGTAGTATTCCATTGTGAAAATGTGCCACATCTTTTTTATCCATTCTTCAAAACAGCTAAAAGAATACAATGGGGGGAGGAAAGCATCTTCAACAAATGGTGCTGGTACAATTGGATGACGGTGTGTAGAAGACTGTAGATAGACCCATGTCTGTCGCCATGCACAAAACTCAAGTCCAAATGGACCAAAGACCTTAACATAAATCTAGCCACACTGAACCTCTTAGAAGAGAAAGTAGGAGGTACCCTTGAACAAATTGGTATAGGAGACCGCTTCTTGAACATAACTCCAGGGGCACAGACACTGAGATCAACAATTAATAAATGGGACCTCCTCAAACTTAGAAGCTTCTGTAAGGCAAAGGACACAGTTGACAAGACCAAATGGCACCCCACAGACTGGGAAAAGATTTTCACCAATCTTACATCTGATAAAGGGCTGATCTCCAAAATATACAAAGAACTCAAGAAACTAGTCAACAAAACACCAAATAACCCTATTAAAAAATGGGGTACAGAACTGAAGAATTCTCAATAGAGGAAATCAAAAAGGCTGAAAGTGGAAAGGAAGAATCTTAATTGAAAAATACTTCCATTGTGTTGGCTTGCAGGGAAGCTTGTAGGGCATTTTCTTAATCGGTGATTGATGTGGGAGGGCCCATCACACTGTGGATGGTGCCAACCCTGGGCAGGTGATCCTGGGTGCTATAAGAAAGCACCAAAGCTGGCCGTTGGTGGCACACGGCTTTAATCCCAGCACTAGGGAGGCAGAGGCAGGCAGGTCTTTGTGAGTTCAAGGCCAGCCTGGTCTACAAAGTGAGTTCCAGGACAACCTCCAAAGCAGTACAGAGAAACCCTGTCTCAAAAAAAAAAAAAAAAAAAAAAAAAGAAAAGAAAAAGAAAAAAGAAATCAGACTAAACAAGCCATGAACGTCACGCCAGTAAGTAGCATTTTCCATGGCTTGTTCATCAGCTCCTGCCCTGACTTCCCTCAGTGATGAACTACAAAGTGTGAGATAAACTAAATAAACCCTTTCCTCTCCAAGTTGCTTGGTCATGGTGTTTTATCATAGCAGTAAAAATGCTAACTGGCTGGGCAGTTAGCCTTTAGTCCCAGCACTGGGGAGGCAAACACAGGTGGATCTCTGTGAGTTCACGGGCCAGCCTAGTCTACAGAGAGAGTTCCAGGACAGGCTCCAAAGCTACAGAAAAACCCTGTCTCAAAAGAAACAAACAACAAAAAAAGAAACCCTAACTGTGACCTTGTGTAACCCACATTGTTGACAGAGAGAACTCCTGCATGTTGTCCTCTGATCTCATGTGTATATACATTCCTACCCCTGCCAAAAAAAGAAAAAGTTAACACATGCCAAAGTTGTTTTTTTCTTTCTATTCTTTTCTGACTATTCTTGGTTGGTTGCACTTTGTCTTAGCTAGTTTCATTGCTGTGATAGACACCATGACCACAGCAATTCTTGTAAAGGAAAGTATTTAATTGGAGCTGACTTACATTTTCAGAGGTTTAGTATAGTAATATTTTGTTTGTAATCTTACAAATAATGCTTGCCTGAAGATGAGAATGCAGAGCTAAGCCACTAGTTAACCACAAACCCAGTTAACAGCTAAGCCACTAGTTAAGCCATACACCTAAGCCACTAGTTAGCCATAGAGGACAGGCCATGGTTGCATGGGAGACAGAGGCAGTTGGATCCCTGTGAGTTCAAGGCCACCCTGGGCTACATGAGAGTGAATCAGTCTAAAAGAGAAACAGAGCTCACATCTTTAATCCCAGCACTCAAAAGGAATATAAGACAGGATCTCAGTGAAGTCTCAGGGCAGTCAGAGGTGGAGAGCATTGATTGCAGTCTGCAGTCACTCTGGGGACAGGATCATGTTACGGACAGCTTCCTGCTAGCCTGGTCCCACAGCATCAGCCCCAACCAAATAACACACAGAGACGCTGTATTAGATTTAAAGCTGTTACTAGCATTTCTTATTGGCTAGCTCTGTCTTAAATCTTAACCCATTTCTATTAATCTAAGAGTTTCCACATGGTTTTATCTTACTGGAGAGGAGAGAGGGTCCAGACATCTTCTAATCTCTCTAATCTCTACCTCATGAATTCCCTCTTACTACATCTCCCAGGATCCTTCTTGTCTTCTAGTCCCGCCTATCTTGCTTTCTTATTGACCACCAGGGCTTTATTCATTAACCAATAAAAGAAACATATTTACAGAATGTCACATCCCTTTTGTCTGAGCCTTGGTAAAGGTAAGAACTCTGTAGTGGCTTGGCTGCTTTACTTTTCTGATCTTCAGTTTGAATCCCAATATCTGTCTCTAGGTTTTTATTATTTGTGCTACAGTTTAATCCATTATCAACATGGTGGTGCAGGCAGACATGGTGCTGGAGAAGCTGAGATCGAGATCCTCTGGGAACAGTGAGAGACAACTGGGCTTGGCTTGAGCATTTGGAAGTCCCAAGCTCACTCCCACTCCCTTGACATATTTTTTACAATGGCCATACCTCCTAATCCCTATCAAGTAGTGCCACTTCCCAATGACGAAGCATCCAAATATGTGAGCCTATTGGGACCATTCCTATTCAGACCACCACATACTTCTGTGTAGGTGGAGTTTTCCTGTCCCAGGAGCCACTTCCAAATAATCACTCTGAAACTTATTTAATTATAAATGATGGGTTGATAGCTCAGGCTTATTACTAACTAGCTATTACATTTTAGGTTAACCCATATTTTTATTTACCCTCTGCCATATGGAGATAGCTTTATTAGCATGGCACATTTATCTCCTGATCCCTTTGCATCTAGCTGGTGACTCCTCTGACTACGCCCTTCTTCCTCCCAGAATTCTCTGTCAGGTTGTCTTACCCAATGTCTTCCTGCTCAGGTATCTGCCAATTAGCTTTTTATTAACAATGAAAGCAGTGCACATATACGGTATACAAAGATTGTCCCACAGCACTTCTATATCAATTTTTTTCACAAGTTACATATGCTTTTATTTAAATTGATTTATGTCATGGTAAATTATAAAATGTAAATTGTGACACATTGATGTTCAAATTGAAATTCAAGACATTTCCGATGAAGCAACGAACTAATTTTTTGGAGGGCTTTCGTAGTTGCTTCTTAAATATGCTATAAAAATTGGATTGGGGTGCCGGGCATTGGTGGCACATGCCTTTAATCCTAGCACTCGGGAAGCAGAGGCAGGAGGATCTCTGTGAGTTTCAAGACCAGCCTGGTCTACACAGCTAGTTCCAGGATAGGCTCCAAAGCTACACAGAGAAACCCTGTCTCAAAAAAAAAAAAAAAAAAAAAAAAAAAAAAAAAATGGATTGGGGCAAGGGTTACATTAAATCTGTGTATTAGCCTATGGATCCTATGGATACTTATTATCTTTACATTGGCTTTTTCTGAGTTTTTCTGTTGGCCCACAGTAATATGTTTCATTATGGCATTTGTCTTCCTCCATCTCCTTCTTGTGGATTTCCTTTATCCCCAAGTAGTCCTCCCTTTTGCTTTTATTTCACATGTATTTCATTACCCTTCGTGTTTTTTGTTTTGTTTTGTTTTGTCCTTCTCCCTGTTTAAGGTCTCTTTCTCCCACTTGGAGTTACAGTGATACCTTTTTAAAGTCTTGTTTATTTTATTGTGTGTATATGAGTGTTTTGCATTTATGTATATATGTGTACCACATGAGTGTAATGCCTGAGGAGGTCAGAAGAGGATAGATCTTTTGGAATAGGAGTTATGGATGGTTGTGAGCCATCATCATATGGGTGCAGAGAACTGAACCTTGGTCTTCTGTAAGAGCAGCAAGTGTTCTTAACTGCTGAGGCAACTCTCTAGCCCCTATCCCTATTCTGGACTCTTTCAATTTATGAAAATGATACACCTTTATTTTTCTAGATGTTCCCTAATTTAGAATTTTATCTGGTTTATCTTAAGAATTTTATTTTAAGACCGGATCTCACTATATATACCAGGCTGGCCTTGAACTCACAGAGATCCCCTTGATTCTGCCTCCTGAATAATGGGAATAAAGCAACGCACCACCATGATCTGATATCTCAGTATATAAATTCTGTCAATGGGAGTTTTGCAAGTCTTTGGTTAGATTTGTGGTGTTTGTGTGTGTGTGTGTGTGTGCGCGCGCGCGCACACTCATCTGTATGGGTGCACATGTGTGTTCTGAAGATTTAACCTAGGGTTCATGGATGGATGCTAATCATACCCCTTCTTCCCAGGAGTCCCCTACTTATTTTCATTTTATTTTATTTTTTGGTGTGTTTGGTATGGCTACTAAGTTTAATTAGTTGCTTTCATGTAGATAAGTACAGAAGTACAGATTATTTACCATAATGTAGAAATGCCAGTGCTTAACCTATCTAAGAAAACAGCCTTCCTTTATCTACCTTAGTCTATTAAGTATAGTGTATTTTAAAATTCCATTTTAAGAATATAGTTTCTTAAATTTTATTTTCTGTTTGCTGCTACATATGGATTATAATTACATTAAAAATCAAATTGTACCAGGCCATAAACTTGTAAAAGGAGATTTTCCCATCTAATCTGGGTCCCACTGGACCCATTTTCTCTCTACCCACCAGTTTCCACAACTGTTTAATACAATAACCATTTAGAGATTTAATATATATATTTATAATTGTTTAGCCAATGGCATAGGCTTCTTACTAGCTATCTCTCTCTTAATTATTAATCTATAATTATTGATCTGTATATCTCCACCTAGCCTTGATTTACCAGAGAATGCCCAGGCATATCACCTTCCCATTGGCTACATGGTATCTGTCCTTTGTCTTTCTTTTCCCTGCCTCATTGTTCAGAATTCCCACCTAGCTAATTCCTGTCTGTCCATTGGCCAAAACAGCTTCATTCATCAACCAATAAAACAACACATATTTGCATCGTACAGAAGGACCTCCCACATTAATAAGCCTAAATTATTACCTGGAAAGAAATGGGAGTGTTGAGATGGAAATTGTTTCCTCAAAATTTATGAATTGTTTCGGGGGTAGAACTAGAAATAATTAGAATGTCATGTGCTTTTGTTTCATAAATGGCCTTTAATAAATGGCAGTGTTTTGAATTAAAAATCTTGCTTGTAAGGCAAACACTTTTAATGGGTATTTTAAAATTAGACCCAATGGTTGATTTCTGAAAACAAAAACTGTTAATGCTGTTGAATATTGTATTCTAATTCTATTCTCTTTTTCAAAATCAGGTGAAAAGGATTCGATGATTTTTGACTGTACTGAATGCTATGATCCAGTTACAAAACAATGGACAACTGTTGCTTCAATGAATCACCCGCGCTGTGGCTTAGGAGTATGTGTGTGTTACGGGGCTATCTATGCTTTGGGTAATTATGCTGTTTGACTTAAGAATAACTGATATTAATTAAGGTCTTGGGGTCTGACAATTTTAGAGATGCTCCTTACTGACATAAGAAATTTGCATCTAGATTTGGGGCTGGAAGAGGCAAGGTAGGTAGATGATAGTTCAAGGCCAGCTTGGTTTACACAGTAAGTTCCAGGCCAGGGAGGGCTGCATAGTGAGACTGTGTCTTGGAAAAAAAACAAAACAAATGAATCTTCTTAAATTCCTTTGTTTTCTTCCTTCCTTCCATTATTTATTTATTTTTATTTTGAGACAGAGTCTAGGGCTCAGGCTGCCCTAGAAACATTGAACTTGCCATTTTCTTGCTTCTTGAGTGCTATGACTGTGGGTGTCGGCTGTGATACATAAATAAAGGGAACATTTTCAGTTTCAAAAACTGGAGAATGGGCCAGTACTCTGGAATTAACACTCTCAGGGATTACTGCAAATAACCATCCCTACACAATGAGTTTCAGGCCAGACTGAGATACATTATATCTGTTTCAAAATACAAGACACAATATCACCTAAGGCTCAGAGATTATTGCAAAAGAGGAGATAGAAAGAATGTAGGTCAGTTTGCTATGAGACTGTCTTCTAGGAATGTCAGAAGATACACCATCAAGTCTAACCAGTAGTAGACATACTAACATGGATGCAGGGAAGCCCCAACTCTACACAAAGAATTACCAGCAACCAAGAAATGCTGAGAGAGGAGAAATAATCTTCCCCAGGGAAGAGTACACCAATTGGCTTAAATGGTCAACCCTGAAAATATACATACAAGTAACATATAGGTTGAACAGGTTTACTATATATATATATGTAACAGTAACTAATGAAACAATATGGGAGAATTTGAAGGAAAGAAAGAGAAGGAAGAAATGATGGAATTATAATCTCCAAAAATTAAATAAATAAAAACTAACTTACAAAAACAAATACAGCACAAAAATAACTGGATTTGAGGCAGAGGCAGGCAGATCTGTCTGAGTTCAGTGCCAGCCTGATCTATGTAGTGAGCTCCAGGACAATGAGGGGTACACAGTGACACTGATTCAAACAAACCTGGAGACTATTTAGAAAAGCCTTTGTGAAGTCTCTAAGTACATCCTAAATAAGTAGTATGCTGTGGTTTGGCTTAGAATTGGCCTTAATAAGTATTAGCAATTTTGAAGATATAGAAGTCATGTTAAAAACTAATTTGGGTGACAGGGCATGTTATCCTATGCCTGATCCCAGTACTTGGGAGGCAGAGGCAGTCAGATCTCTGTGAATTCAAGGTCAGCCTGGTCTGTAGAGTGTGTTCCAGAACAGCCAAGGCTACACAGAGAAACCCTGTCTCAATAAACAAACAAAAAAAAATCTTAATAAATTTTTAAAAGAAAGAAAGAAAAGAAAAAATAGTTTGGGGGTTAGGTGTATTAGTATTTATCTTTTTTTATGGTTTTTGACGACAAGATTTCTCTGTATAGTACTGGCTGTCCTGGAACTCAGACCCTTCTTCCTCTGCCTCCTGAGTGCAGGAATTGAAGGGTGAGCCACCATCATTCAGCTGTTATGTATATCTTTAATCCTAAAATTCTGGAGGCCGATCTCTGTGAATACCAGAATAGCCCAGGTTATGTGGTAAAACTGTTTCAAAAATTAAAAATGAAAAAGTTTTGGGAAAAATCATATTTCTCATACTAAGCTAATTTTTTTCTTTGTTTTATTCTAATGAGAAAATCTGAACTTTAAATGATTATTTTTTGTTTTTTTCCAGGTGGGTGGGTTGGAGCTGAGATTGGCAACACCATTGAACGATTTGATCCCGATGAAAACAAATGGGAAGTTGTTGGCAACATGGCTGTGTCTCGCTACTACTTTGGGTGCTGTGAAATGCAAGGTAATGCTTTTATAAGGTATTTTTTCTGTTCAGTTTCCAGCAATACAGTATTTATCACTTGGTATATAAGTGTGTGTTGACTTAGAATTGGTCTTGATTAGTATAATAACTTTGAAGATATGGAAGTCATGTTAAAAAATAGTTTGAAGACAGGCCAGCCCAGCATCTGGGCCATGGGCAGGCAGGCACCTCTGTGGTGATGACCAGGTATATGGTGTAGAAATGGGAGAGAAGGAGGAGCAGAATGGTTCATGTACTGTGGAGAGAGGCAGAACTGAAGATGTGGTGAGGAACAGGCTGATATGGGTGGCCTACATTACCACCTGGGGCCAAGTGATATCTGGGCCTGTGCAGCAGCAGCCAAGGTCCTTGCCAGGCCCTACCATGGCTGGGTTCTGTGTTGATGTCTGTGGCCTAAGTTACCTGAGAAGGCCTACAGATGTAAATGGAAATTTATGTCCCATCCCATCCTTCAGCCATTCAGTCCCAAATAAACACACAGATGCTTGTATTAATTATAAAGTGTTTGTCCTATTGCTCAGTTTTATTACTAACAAGCTCTTACAACTTAAATTAACCCATAATTTTTATCTATGTTTAGCCTCGTGGCTTGGCACCTTTTCTCAGTAAGGCATTCTCATCTTGCTTCCTGTATCTGGCTGGTGACTGTTTCTTGTCTTTCCTCTTCCCAGAATTCTCCTAGTCTGGTAGCCCTGCCTATACTTCCTGCCTGGCTACTGGCCAGTCAACATTTTATTAAGCTAATATGAGTGACAAATATTTACAGTGAGCAAGAACATTATCCCACATCATACAGATGCCTGTGGTCTGGGCCTGAGGCCACCAGGGGCATACTAATCTGAGTTGTCTGTGCTGTCAATCAGGGCCATGGTGATGTCCGGCCCCAGCTCCAGCAGAGGGACATTTTTGGGTCTTTGCCCTTACTGCAGTTGTAGTCTGTGTTGATGTCTGAGGGTTTGTTACCATTGGGAACCATGGGACAGCTGGCTTTGATAGCATGTGCAAGGGAGAGCTGGCCCTGACCCTTGCCTGAGGGAGATGGTCCTGGTGGAGGCCTGGACTGACCAACTCAGCTACCACCCAGGCCCATATACAAGGCTTTGAGGTTGGTCAACCTCATCCGCTCCCTCTATGAACTGCTGGAGTGTGCAAAGAAACAGGCCCTGAAGAACCATAGCCACAAGATTTACATGACTCAGGGCAACAGCAGGATATCCAAGAGAAGTTTCATGAGGGTCCAGTATTGATAGTGTATCAGAAGCCAGAGTCCTTGAACCAGAACAACAATACACTACAATAAACATTTGCAAATAAAGCTGTTTGGGCAAAAGAGCATACTGTGTAATACATTGCAGCTCCCAGGGCTACTAGGACAAATGAATATGTGATAGAGAGGAGGGAAATATGGAGGAGTGGAGTTTTTCTTTTTTTATGTTGTGGGGAGGCTACAAGGGTGGAAGGCAGACATAGAAGGACTGGTAAGTTAGTGGGATTGGGGTACATGATGTGAAATACCCAAAGAATCAAAAGAAAATTTTGGGGAACCAAGCATGGTGGTGCATGTTTTTAATCCCAGCACTTGGGAGGTATAAGTTTATATATAAAATTCTGTGTATAAAAATAGTTTAAGGGGCCGGGTGGTGGTGGTGCATACCTTTTAATCCCAGTACTCAGGAGGCAGAGGCAGGCAGATCTCTGTGAGTTAAAGGCCAGCCTGGTCTACAAGAGCTTGTTCCAGGACAGCCAAGGCTACACTGAGAAACTCTGTCTCAAAAAGCCAAAATAAATAAATGAATGAATAAATAAATAAAGGAATGAGTAAGTTTGAGGGGCAGACAAGACAGCTCAGCAGGTAAAGGCGCTTCCACCAGGTCTGGCTCAGCTTGATTTCTGGAACCCACATGGTAGAGGAGAGAACCACTTCCTGCAAACTGTTCACTGAATTCCACACATGTGCTGTCCTGTCGTATGCACACACAGGTACACATGAACATACAAACTAAATAGATATAAATTAAAAAACTGATCAAGGCCTTATTTTCACAATGTATTTTAAGACTTATTGAAGAATTAGTGCTAATGATATAGAAATTCTCACTTTTACCTCTTGTGTTACTGACATTTTGTTTCTGTGTTGCTAGAATAATTTTCCTGTAATGAAGAAAACTAAGTTAAAAACTTAGTATGATAATGCACACCTTAATTCTAGCACTTGGGAGGCAGAGGCAGGTGGATCTCTGTGAGTTAGAGGCCAGAATAATCTAAACAGAGAAATCCTGTCTCAAAAAAAAAACCAAACCTAAATAAGTAAGTAAATAAATCCTTCAGGTATGTGCTAGAGAAATGGCTTAGTGAGTAAATGTGCCTTCATCCAGGCCTGACAACCTGAGTTTGATACTGAGGACCCAAATAGTAGACTGCAATTGTTCTCCCTTCCCCTTTGGGGGGGGGGTCTGTTACCCAGCTCCCAAATAAATACATGGAGACTAATTCTTACTTACAAACGTCAGCCTTAGCTTGGCTTATTCTACTCAGCCTTTCTTAAATGATCCCATCTACCTTTTGCATCTGGGCTTTTACCTTTCTCTATTCTATATACCTTTCTTTGAGTCTTAACCTGTGACTATATTGTGGCTGAGTGGCTGGACCTTAGCATCTTCCTCTCCTTCTCCTTTCCTTGATCCTCTATATCTCTCTCCTGCCTTGCTATTGGCCATTCAGCTCTTTACTAGACCAGTCAGATGTTTTTGGTATTTAAAGTAACACAGTTTCACAGAGTTAAACAAATGCAGCATAAAAGGATACAACATATCTTTGCATCATTAAACAAATATTCCACAGCATAAACAAATATAACACATCTTAACCAATATTCCAACAACTGTGGACAGTGTGAATTGACTCCCATAAATTGTCCTTTGACCTCAACATTCGTTACATGGCATGCAGAACCAATTTATCATTCTTTATTGAAATGGTCGCCACCAGTAAGTGTTCAAATTGGTTTTATACCATCTTTCTTTTACAGATCCATAGACAATCATTCAAATAAATGCTTTATTAAAAAATAAGAAAAAATAGGCCAGGCAGGGTTGATGTATACCTGTAATCTTAGCATTTAGGAGGCAGAGGCATACAGATCTCTGTGAGTTCAAGGCAAACCACAGAAAGAGTTCCAGGGCAGGTTCCAAAGCTACAGATAAATCCTGTCTGGCCAAAAACAAACAAACAAACAAATGAAGGAAGTAAGGAGGGAGGAAAGAAGGAAAGAGAGGGAAAGAGAGAAAGAAAAGAAAAATTAGGCTGGGCAGTGGTAGCCCACTGCTTTGATCCTAGAACTTGGGAAGCAGAGGCAGGCAGATATCTGTGAGTTCAAGGCCAGCCTGTGTTCATGCGTAGTGAAGTCCACAAGAGCCTGAATAAAAGAATATTAAATACTTATTTGGGAATAACAATAAATGTAGATAATTGCTTAGGTCTTCTAGCCTGTGGGTTCAGGATGTTGTGATTAGATCTCTAGCCATTAAACATGAGAGAAAACATGTTTCTTCTCCCTCTTTTCAGTCCACCTGTAGCACCTGAGACCACGCATTAATGGACCAGTACAGGATTCCAGAGGCTGTTGGTTGAATGAGTTCTCACAACACCAGCCTGGTCTACAGAATGAGTTCCAGAACAGCCAAGGCTACAGAGAGAGAGACACTGTCTCAAAAAAAAAAAAAAGGAAAATTTCAGATGGTCAGAAGTAACTGTATTTTAGTGTATCTTACATTGTCATTTTCTCTTATATTAACATCTAAGTTATTTTTCCAAAGTAGAAAGTACCAAACCAGTTTCGTTTCTGTTTTGTTTATTTTTAAGATTTATTTATTTATTTATTTACTATGTATACAGTGTTCTGCCTGCATATATGCCTCCAGGCCAGAAGAGTGAACCAGATCTCATTATAGATATTTGTGAGCCACCATGTGGCTGCTGGGAATTGAACTTAAGACCTCTGGAAGAGTAGCAGCTAGTGTTTTTAACCTCTGAGCCATCTCTCCAGCCCGTATTTTTTATTTAAAAAAAAAAAAAAAAAAACCAGAGTCTCACTATGTAGCTATAGCTGTTGTCTTGGAACACTGGTCACTATGCAGACCAGGCTGGCCTTGAACTCAGAGATCTGACTGCCTCTGCCTCCTGAATACTGGAATAAAAGGTCTGAACCACCATAATTGGATTATTTCTTTTCCATAGAAACTGAGCACAAATCTTCTGTTTTTCAGGTTTAATTTATGTAATTGGAGGAATCAGCAATGAGGGACTAGAGCTTCGTTCTTTTGAAGTTTATGATCCACTTTCCAAGCGTTGGTCCCCACTTCCTCCTATGGGAACCAGAAGAGCCTATCTTGGGGTAGCAGCACTCAATGACTGCATCTACTCTATTGGAGGGTGGAATGAGGCACAAGATGCTCTTCATACAGTGGAAAAATACTCCTTTGAAGAGGTAGGTTAGGTGATTTCAAATGTTTAGTATCTTATTTTCTTTTAGTACCTGTTAGATCTGTAGTGATTTGTTCTCTTTCACTCTGAAGTTCTGGCTAGAGTGTTATAAGAAGTTGGACCATCTCAGCTAGCCAATTTGGAATTGTCTTGAGCCATTTTAGTCAAAAGCCAATCCTTGAATGGTGTTTATTGGCTTAATGGCATCATTATGAACCAGGTAGATTTGTTGTTGTGGGACCCCATCTTACTTCTGGAGACTTCAGACATTGCTGTTAGGAAAATTCATTGTTCACTGTAGAAAACTAAAACATTATTAATATCAAAATGGAAAGTTTAAATTTGTGGTAGATATGCATTCAAAGAAGGTTACTATAGAGATGAAAATAAGGATGGGGAGAAGTAGAATTTTGAGGAGATAACAGAGTTTTGACAATAGTCCCTAGATTTTTTTTATTTTCTTTTGTCCTACACCAGGTGGCTCTTCTGATATGAAACAGAAACTCTGAAATTTTCTTTTAACAACAGGCTTGGATTTAGAGAAGTACAGAGCCACACTATCAATTCCGAAACCAGCTTTAATTTTATTTATTAATTTGTTTGGTTTTTGAGACAGGGTTTCTCTGTGTTGCTTTGGAGTCTGTTCTGAAACTCACTCTGTAGACCAGGCTGGCCTCAAACTCACAGAGACCCATCTACCTCTGCCTCTCGAGTGCTGGGATTAAAGGTGTGTGCCACCACTGCTTGGCTCAGCTTTGATTTTTAAATTAGTCAGGACTATAACTATTCTGAGAAGTAAAGAGATAGAGATGTGTAAGTAGTTAGATTGGTACCATAGGTCAGATTTCTCTTAGCTTGGTAATTTTTTTGGATATCTAGACATCTAGATGTTCAGGGTCTTTTGATTTCTTTAAGGTGGGTATCTCTACTTTCTTGAAAGACAAAAACAGAACCCTGCCCTGACCCTTGTGAGTTGTCCTTGCAACGTATAGGATTATCACACCAGTGGATGAACTATTTTTTTCTCCTTATCAAGAGGCTTCTCTTGTTCTAATAGAATCTTAATTCATTTTGATGGTATTCATAGCTTTTCTTCTCCTGTGGAAACAAAAGTGAAACCTCTTCCCCAATGTAGCACAATCCTGGTTTCCATTCTGAGATCAACACATCTTTGAAGTACATAGGCTGATTTAACTCAGAAGTTCTTTCTATTGTCCTGGGTCTCTCTGTAGCTGTTGTTCCTTTATAATTAGCATTAAGAAAATTCAAGGTTAATATGGCATAATGCAACCTATCTCTGGGGGGTCTTGGTTCCCCCTCCCTGTTTATTAAGTATTTCTTTTGAAGTGTAATTAGATCTCTCTACAACTACTTGTCCTGTAGGATTATGTGGTATACCTGTGATATGCTTTATATTATAATATTAAAAAAAATTGTTTCATTTTACTAGAGACATATGCTGGAACATTGTCAGTTTTAATTTGTGAAGGTATACGCATGATGGCCATAACTTCTAATAGGTGTGTAATTCTAGAATTAGTCTTTTTAGAACTCAGAGCAGTTGCCCATTGAAATTCTGAAAATATGTCTATTGTATGGTGTATATATTTTAATTTTCCAAGTTCTGCAAAATGAAACCATCCATTTGCCAAATTTCATTTCTTTGCATACCTTTAGGGTTACTTCCTGAAGGTAAAGGAGTTTGGTTATAGAAGGAGCAAGTAGAACATAATTTTACAATTTCTTGGCTTGGATGGAAAAATCCTTTTTCAAACCTTTGATATTATTGACATGGTATTTTATTAATGAAATTCTGAGGCCTCCAGAATGCTTCCTATTAATAGTTGATCAATTTCATCATTACCTGGTGCTTGAGGACCTAGCAGACCCATATAAGATCTGATGTGATGTATATATTTATGCATGTATATTTTTATATATGATGATTCTTACTCCTGATTATCTCCTATAGCTGTATAAATAAGAAGTTAATTCTGTTTCATAAGGAATACATTCAGCAGTTTCAATATGTAAAACAACTCTTTCTACACATTGAGTCAGTAACTATATTGAAAGGTTCTGTAAAACCCATGAGTACCATGAGAATGGCACACAATTCTGACTTTTGCACGAAGTTGTAAGGGATTTGAACCACTTTACTTAAATTTCCTGATTTATATCCTGCCTTATCTGATTTGTTTGCATCAGTCTAGAACATAGAGATTGGTGTTTTCCTTACAATGTGGTGAAGGACCCAAGTGGTTCTTTTTAGGAATTTAATTCTCTCACTTTTGGAACAATTATTGTTAATCTGCCCCCAAAAGTTACTGCAACCTCTTTGCCAGTATTCATTATCTTTCCATAAAGAGGAAATTTACTCATTAAAGTGCTATTTCTTCTGGGTTCATTCCTATCAGTTGAAAAGGCTCAATTTCCCTTTTAAATAAAATCTGAAATCGTTTCCACATAAGTCTTTAATTTCTTACTCTGTGTATGTAGTAGGAATAGCCATTCCAATATATCTTCTCTCTGCATCCAAATCCCTGAAGGGTGTTGCCTAGAGGATAATATAACTAGAATGCAGTCAAGCTTTGAATCCATAAGATCAACATGTGCATCTTGTATTTTCTTTTCCACCAAAGGCATTTCTCTCTTAGCTTCAGCTGATATTTCTCTTGGACTACTTAAGTCCCTGTCCCCTTCTAGGGTCTTGGCCAAATTATTCAGTTCATAGTTTTCTACTCCATTAGTGGGCCTTAGATAGGAAATGTCTCCTAGCAATGTTTGAAAATCATTAAGAGTCCAAAATCGATCTCTCCTGATCTGTACCTTCTGTGGTCTAATTTTTTATAGACCTATCTTATAACCTAAATAGTTAAAGTTTTCTCTCTGTATTTTTTCAGAGCAATTTATAATCCCCAGTGAGGCAAAACTTTCTTTATTCTTTGAACATGTTTTCTAAAGGGTGTCTATCTTTGAATCAGCCAATAACATATAATCCATAGCTGAGCGTTGGTGGCACACACCTTTAGTCCCAGAGGCAGGCAGATCTCTGTGAGTTCAAGGACAGCCTGGTCTATGGAGCAAGTTCCAGCAATACAGAGGAGCCCTGTCTCAAACCCCAAAAAAGATATTATCCATATAACGGTGAATTATAGATTGTGAAACTGTATCAATTATTTCTAACAGTTTTTGTACAAAATATTGGCATGGGTGAGGCTATTTAACATATCCTGTGGGAGGACCTTCCATTGATATCTCTTGACCAGTCTAGAGTTGCTAATAAGTAGGTACTATGAAGGCAAATTTTTCCCTTTTTCTTGTAAAGGTATAGTGATGAAAGTCTTTTAAGTCGATAACCATAATAGATCATTCTGCTAATGAAGTTGGGCTTGAGCAAGCCTTGCATCAGGTATCTTTGATAACCATCTCTTCCTTACAGCTCTGGTCCTGGTCAGCCAGCAGTATGTGCATGGCCTCACAGCACCCTCAAACTGAGAAGTAGACAGTGGTGTCAGTGGGATGGTTGAGGTGTCGACACACACATGGCCTCAGTACTGTACAGACCATAACAGATCTTGGGCACAGACACCTTTTCTTTAAACTTTTTATCTCCTTGATTGAGCACTGTACTTCATTCCATTACACGTCCTCATCCCCTTTCCTTCTCAACTGTACATTTTCATTTTTCCTTGTCTGTGTGGTCCTTTTCCATTGTAGAGCTGTGTAAGAGTGACAACTAGTAACCACATAACATAGTCAATACTAGGTTGTCTTGAAATCTCTGTCAATTCTAATAATCTAAACCTCTTCAACTTAGCCTCTGAATGAAAAAAAAAAAAACTAAAAAAAGGAAAGGACATAATTGTTCCTAGGTATGGTGGAGAAGAAGGTTTGTTGTAGATAAAAGGGAGAGGGTAGGTAGAGGCAGAGACATCTGGAAGAGTCCAGAGTGGACATGACTAGACTGACCTGGGTCATGGCAATGTGTGGGATGGGGGCACCAGGTACAACAGCCAGAAGGCCACTGGTCCAAAAAAGAGTGTGTAACCAAAATGTCTAGATTATATAGGGAAGAACCTCTTGAGGAAGGGCAACCTAGCTCTGGGCTGCAGAGTTCAGGGTAGAGGGTGGGATTTGCCAGCCATACTCTGTAACAGATAGGGAATGTGGGATGCTAGGAGAACTTGGTGGCCAGGTCCACTTTGATATGTTATATAAGTACCTCAGCCTTTTGCCCTGGGTTTGAAACTTAATAGCCGTTAGCAAATGTTTAAGACAAGGACAGAAAGTAGCTATATTCTTCACCCACATATCACAAGAATGGTCTCTGGGCCACTTATTAGTGTATTCTTCCCCTCAAACTTCTTAGGTGGCGCCATCATAATTTACATTGCTCTCAGCACCACTGTCTTACATGTTCCTACTAGTATGGCCATTAAACCTAGCTTAAAGCATCCAGATGATTTTGTATCCCAGAGTCCCAAAGTCTTTCATATTTCTCCAACACAAACAGCTAGGTCAGACCTGTCACAGCACTACCTCACTTCTGGTTTAGTCACAGTTTTATTGCTGTAGAGAGACCATGACTAAGGCAGCCCTTATTAAAGAAAGCATTTAATGGGAGCTTGCTTGGAGTCTCAGAAATTTAGTCCATTATCATCATGGCAGAGAGCATGATAGTATGCAGACAGGTGCTGGAGCAGAAGCTAAGAGCTACATTCTGATTCATAGGCAGAGAGAGAGAGAGAGAGAGAGAGAGAGAGAGAGAGAGAGAGAGAGAGAGAGGAGAAGAGAAGAGGAGAGGAGAGATTGATCCTAGGGCTGGTATGAGCTTTTGAAACCTCAAAACCCACCCCTAGTGACACTTCCTCTAACAAGACCACACTGTTGCCTGATTAGATAAATGACCCAGAGACTGATATTGGGGTTCAAGCGTCTAATTGAAGGTGAAAAAAGGAAAGTAGCTGCCCACTAGCTCTTACTGATACCTCAGGTTGAAAGGACTGATCCTGCTGCCTCTCCTCAGTGTGGCTGGAGAATCCTGAGACTGGATGTCTTCCTAGCCTCCTTAATACTAATCCTTCCTATCTTCAGTGTGGCTGGAAAATGAATGCCTCCTACTGAATACTGAAGACCCTGCTTCTTTTATACCCCTCTAGTGCTATGATTAAAGGCATGTGATCTGTTATTCTTTTAGATTGATTCAATCTCATGTATCCCTAGGTGGCTACCTCTTAATCCTGAATCCAAGGATTAAAGGTGTGTACCACCACCTCCTAATTTCTGGCTGCTGGGATTAAGGATGTGTGCCTAGCTTCTATGGCTTGTGGCTTACTTTGCTTTCTGAATCCTCAGGCAAGCTTTAATAAATCGTAAATAAAATATCAGTACACCACACCTCCTAATCCTTCTAATCCTTTCAAATATTACCATTCACTGATGATGAAACACTCAAAAATGTCACCTTATGGGGGCCATTATCATTTAATCTACCACAGGTAGTTAAGTCCTTTTAACTCCTGAGCTATCTCTCTAGCCACCTAAATAAAAAATTTGAAGCATTTTTCAAAAATAAAGGCTTTTAATATATAAATTCCCCCCCTTGGATTTTTGTCATCTCTGTTTTGAATATATATTACTTACTTACATTTTATTAACTTAGGTTCTCAGAATGCTGGGCTTAAATGAATCCTAAGCATTTTAAACCTGATTTATTTAGTTGTGTGGGTGTTTTGCTTACATGAATCTTATACCACATGTATACAGTGCCTGTAGAGTCCAGAAGGAAGTATTAGGTACTCTGGAACTGGAGTTACAGATTGTTAGCCACCATGTACTGAACCTCAATCCTCTGCAAGATCAGGCAGTGCTTTTGACCACCAGCCCCCTCTCCAGTCCCTCTATATAGTGTCTAGATCATTACCTGACCATATTTTATAGTCAGATATGTTTAACTATTCTCTAGATTCACTGTTATCAGAACTGCCAAAGAGTTTATTTTAAAATGTAGTATATACTTACTTGAATTGATTTTAAACATGTAAAGTCTAGAATATAGGATTTCTCAGAGATTTCATTACCATTTTATGACACTATTAATGTTCTTTTCTCACTTTACTAGGAAAAGTGGGTTGAAGTTGCTTCAATGAAAGTGCCTAGAGCAGGCATGTGCGTTGTGGCGGTCAATGGTCTCCTGTATGTTTCTGGAGGCCGCTCTTCTAGCCATGATTTCTTGGCCCCAGGTACCTTGGACTCAGTTGAAGTTTACAACCCTCATTCAGATACATGGACAGAAATTGGTAACATGATCACTAGTCGTTGTGAAGGTGGTGTTGCTGTACTATGATACAAAAAGCATAAAAGCACAGGAAACATTTTGAAAATGTAAGTTCCGACATTTTGTAAATCAAACATATATTTATGATATGACCCTCTGATTCTTTTGAAGATTACATGTATTGAATAGATAAGTGTGTTTTTTTTCTAAAAATTTGAGTGAGAATGGATATGAAATATATCTTAATAAAGAATGCATACAAATTTCCAAAGTTTAGCAACAATACAAATGGTATTTATGCCCTACAGTTATTCAGTTATCAATAGAATCCTCCTTGTAAAAATTGTTTCCTAGAAACTTCTGGGAAATTGTGCAGTTCTCTCGTGCAGTTCAAGTTGTAACATAGCCTGTATACAATGTAAGGATAACAATCTCCATGGGACAGTATAAAGATTTCTACTTCATAATTGGTCCATAACATAGTTTCCATGGCGTCATTTAACCTACAGAGAAAATCCAGTGGCAGGAGTTTTCACTATCCCCAAGCACTAAAATATTAGGATGGACATAGTAAATATGTGGGGGTTTTATTGTTTTGGGTTTTTTTTTTGTTTGTTTGTTTTGAGATAGGGTCTCTACATAGCTTTGGATGTCCTGAAACTTTCTGTGTAGACCAGGCTGGCCTCAAACTCACAGAGATCTGTCTGCCCCTGCTTCCCAATTGCTGGGATTAAAGGTCTATGCCACTATACCCAGCAACATCTAGCTATTTAGACAGTTAAGTTTCTGCTTTTGGTAGTTTAAGAGAAATTTTACCCACTCAAATTTCCTGTTTTGATTCTGAGAACACAAGTAAAGAATTAATAGTTTCTTGCTGAAAGTTCTTTATAAAAATAGTTTTACTTTTTAAAATGTATGTGTTTCTGCTTGTCTGTATGTGCACCATGTGTGCACAGATGCCTGCTGAGGACAGAAGAGTGTGTCGTATACCCTGGAAGTGGAGTTACAGGTGCTGTGAGCTGCCTGAGGTTGGGTACAGGGAACAGAACCTGAGGTCCTCTTAAAGAGCAGCAAATGCTCTTAAATTTTTAGATATGTAGTCCCCCTTGATGGCAGGGTTTTTATTATTATTATTATTTTGGTGTGTGTGGTGTGGTGTGTGTGCGTGCGCGCGTATGCTTTATCTCTTAGTTTTGTCTGGGATTTGGCATTACAGATACTTGTGAACTGCCATGTGGGTGCTGGGGTCCTCTGGAAGAGCAGCCAGTGCTCCTAACCTGAGCTATCTCTTTAGCCACTTGATCAACAGCTCTTGATTGAAATAATATGTAATGAGTATAATCCCCCAGATATTATGTGCTTAGAAGTTTCTTCTTTACTTTCTAGAGTCACCAATATTATCTATTTAGTTTTAGGAAGAGGAACTTTTGTTAGATTATTAGACTTTCTTTAATTTACATGTGTGTTACTTGGGTAAGCATATGTAATAGCTTAGTATAATGTCTCTGCCTGGCTTGGAAAAAACTTGTAGTTAGAACTTTTTTTGTTTTGTTTTTTGTTGTTTTTGAGATAGTCTCACTATGCAGTCCAAGTTATCCTTGAACTCTAACAATCTTCCTGGGCTAACAGGCATGTGCCATGAGTTTTGATGAACCTTAATGTGAAATCAGAAAACTTTAAATGCTGATATCCAACGCCCCCCCCCCAAAAAAAATGTAGGTTTCTGATTTTCAGAATAGGGATGCTCAGCTGATAAATGCTGCATAGTCTAAAATTTGGTGTATTCTGAAGCCCAAAACATTTCCAGTTCCAATCATTTCAGATCTTTATCAGGAATTTAACCTGTACACATTTTTATAAACAAAGATTGTGTGAGTTATAACTACCTTGGATCTAAAACCAATTCTAAAAACTTGTTTTCCCTAATAATCACTCTCAAGAAATGCTGAGTTCTGAAGGCTGTGATCACTGCTTATATTTTTGCTAGACAGTGAGAACCACATTATTAAGCATTTGCATCTTTTAGGTTTAACTGGATGCCTCAAGGTTATGCTTTCTCATTTTTTTTTACTAAGGTCTTTCAGTATATTGTTAGAAACATCAACACCTTAATTAGGTAGAAAACCTTTAATCTGCATTAGACATGTTATACAGCAGTCAGAAAGCAGTGTTTCCTATAAAATATCCTGAAAGTTTATAGTTAGGATCTCTTAAGATGGCAGAGAATGAACACCAAGAGTATTTTATTGTCTACTTAAGCTAACTCACGTGTTCCTAACATTTCTCATTAGAGAACCTGCTTTTTGGTTCAAAACAGATTCACAACATAAAATTCAGTTTCCCGTTATTGCCCCGTATCAGACAAAACTGGCAAAGAATAAGATACACATACACACACATCTGTGGTAAAATGTAATGTCAACACATTCAGGATTTGCTATGTATGTGTGATTAGTCAAGAAGTTCCCTGAAAAGTTAACTAGATGTGTATTATTTCTCAGGTGATAATATACTGTATTTGAAAGATTGTACTAATAAAGTTCTATTTTCTTTACTTTGAATTAACTTGTTCACCAGCATTACTAGATACCCAAACTATAATAGGATTACACTAACGTTTGTTTTAACTTTAGGAATGTACACATTTAGTTACATAATTTCATTATTGGAAAAATTAAAGTGCTCTTTCCAGAATGTTTGGCAGTTTCAGTATGTTTATTTTCTTTCTTTTGGTTTTTCTTCACAGGGTTTTTCTCTGATGCTCTGGCTGTTGTAGAATTCACTCTGTAGACCAGGCTAGCCTTGACCTCACAGAGATCCACCTATGCCTCCTGAGTATTAAAGGAGTGCACCAGCACAGCCTATCTAGTTTCATTGTGTTTCTAAATACTCTGTCCATTTTATGAGGTGGCAGATACCTGTGAATCTCATCTACTGGAGGAAACTGAGGACAGAGTTTAAGGCTACATAAAATACGAGAGTTGGAGGACTGCATTTAATCCCTAGCACCTCCAAAAAAAAAAAAAAAAGTTAACTTTTTTCTTTTAAAAACCATGTGTAATGTAATTGAGAATCCGTTTTCAACCTGGTATAGTGACTCACACCTTTAATCTTAGTACTTAGGGAGTGAACAAAAAAAAAAAAAAAAAAAAGCATCATAAATTTGAGATTAGTAAGGTCCAGGCCAGAAGCAGCTATGTAATGTGGTCCTGTCCCAAAATACGTAACCTTTTTTTTTTTTTTTTTTTTAAAGACACAGAATCTCACCGTAGGCCTGACTTGGAACTCCCTGTGTAGATCAGTCTGTCCTTGAACTCAGAGATCCACTTGCCTCTGCCTTCTGAGTGCTGAAATTAAAGGTGTGTATCACTGACCAGCTGTAACAAGTTCTTAAAGTATTGTAATTAACCTACAAATTAGTATTTTGAAAGTGAAACTGGGCAGTCAGCTTGAAAGTATGACTAGCTTCTCTGGAAGACAACACATTTGAGATTAAGGGAAAACTTGAAGTAACTAAATATAAGCAATTCAGACGCAAAGAAGCACTTCCTCATCAAAATAGTTGACTAGAATCTGAAAAGCTCTGTATTCTGTATATATAAAAAAAGTTCTAGCAGGGCGTTACACCCTTAGTCCCAGCACCAGGAAGGCAGTGGCAAGCGGATCTCTGTGAGTTCAAGGCCAGCCTGGTCTACAAGAGCTAGTTCCAGGACAGCCTCCAAAACCACAGAGAAACTTTGTCTCCAAAAGCGAAAAAACAAACAAAAAAATTCTAGCCATTCTTACAATACTCAGTGGTAATGAGGCCTGGTGTCTATTAAATTGCTATTGCTGCTGTTAACAATATGCTGCAGAAATTTAAGCAAAGGGTTGAGGAGTTGGCTTGCTGCTTACTTCTAAAGACCAGAGTTCAGCCCTCCAGTTATTTACTTAAATTTGGGTTAGATATGGCGGTTTGCATCTAATTCCAACCCCAGAAGGATGAGGTGGTATCTCCAGAGCAAGCAGAACTATCTGTATCAGCCAGTTCTGGTTTTGAGACACCCTGAATCAATGATTAAGATGGAAGAGTGATCAAGAATGATTCATGCCATTGACCTTGGGCCTCCACATGTACAAAAATAAACATACACACATGAAAATTGTCAGGGGTAAGGGCAAGCAATATATTACTCCTGGAGGATATAACTGTGAAATCCGTGTTCAGTTACTTCCTTTTGAGAGTATGAGGAATGACCACTGATCTGATCTGGTTGGTGGTGATTAACCATACTCACATGGTATTTTTTCCCCATGTTCCCAAATATTCCTTTTTTTTTTTCTTTTTCTTTTCCTTTGTGTAAGAGCCCTGGCTGTCCTGGAACTCACTTTGTAAACCACTTGTAGATCCATCCAGCTGTCTCTACCTCCCATTAAAGGCACGTACCATCAACACCTGGCCCAAATATTCCCTTTACAAAAACAATAATTATCATGTGAAATTCCATCACAATTACAAATTAAGCCTAATTACATAAAGGCCCCCTTTATGAAAGTCACATGACTTCCTAGAGGTTAGGAGTTCAAAAGTTTGATTCCTAAATGGATCTATAAAAAAGTAAACAGTAGCTATTCTTGTGTCTATAATCAAACCCACATAGATCTCAATACAGTATGTTAACCTTGAACAGATGGTGAAAAATTAATACTTATAAACCAGTATGGTAATTAATGTACTGTACCAACTCACCACATAAAACTGGCATGCTCTTTTCCAAAGTTGACACAGAACCTGAATCTTCAAAAATTCAAATGTGTATGTATGCAATATATGTATACATGACCTATAGCATCAGTAGCAACGACTTTTCTTGGTTCTAAATTCACCTGAATAAAATGTACAAACATCTAGCATATTTCATAAAAAGATAAAAAAAATACAGCAAAGTTTTGTTACTGTTGTGATACCTGGAATGAAAACATTTTAGAATAACATAAAAAACAGCTCTGAAAAAGTTATTATGTTTACCTTCATAGCAGGAATTACTAGAATAGAGTGTGTTTGTGTATATACACACACATATACCTATCTATAGTATAATTTTCTCATAAAACTTGTTAACTGCTATTAGAGTACTTGTTTCATCAAAGATAAGACATTCAAAATGACATAATTTTGATCCCCTGAATTGATCTCATGAATGCCAGGATTGAAGACTTCTGTTACATTTAGTCTGTGGAATTCAGGAACCAAATAAAGGCTTTGTGCATGGTACCACCTGCTACCCTCCAACCCTTTTAAGTTAAAATCGAATGGATTAGGCTGGGGCTGTATTGTTCAGTAGCAGTGCATTTATAGCATTTATGAAGCACTAGATTCAATCCCTAGTGCTATGGAAGGACAAAGGAACAAAAGTCGTATTTTTGCCATTTTACTTGAGACATAGCCTCTCTATGTAGTACTAACTGACCTGGAACTTGCCAAGTAGATCCAGCTGCCTCTGGATTAAGGGTGTACTCCATACTCCACCAGACCTGGTTGTATTTTTTTTTTTTTTTCTTTTTTTGATTTTTCTAGACAGGGTTTCTCTGTATTTCTTTGGAGCCTGTCCAGGAACTAGCTCTATACCAGGTTGGCCTCAAACTCAGAGATCCAACTGCCTCTGCCTCCTGAGTGCTGTAATTAAAGGTGTGCGCCACCAATGCCCAGCAGAGGCCTGGTTGTCTTTTAGTTTTTTTGTTTTGTTTCTGTAGACAGGATTTCTGGGTGTAGCTCTGGGTAACCTCAAACTAAAGAGATCTGCCTGTTTCTGCATCCCAAATGCTAAGAGTAAAGGTGTGCAACACCACCACCCAGCCGTATTTTTATTTATTTGTATGTTTTCGATTTTTCGGGAAAGGGTTTCTGTTTGTAGTCCTGGCTGTCCTCAAATACATAGAGATCTGCCTGCCTCTCAAATGCTGGGATTATAGTTGGGCCCCAGCACAACCTGGCTTTAATTAAAGAATTTTGTTTTTTGTTTCTTTTTAATGTGTATGGTGTTTTGCCTGTGAACCACACATGTGCCTTGTCTCAAGGAGTCCACATTCAAACCTGTTGAACTGGAGTTACAGTTGACAGCACAATGTGGGTATTGACAATAGAGTATGATGCTTCTTAACCACTAAGCCACTTTGCTATTACAGTAAAAGATCCTGTAGGCTAGGTCTGGTCAGAAAACACCAGCAAACAAAAACTAAGAAATTTGTCAGCTTTTCTGTGAAAGTGGCTTTTCTCAGAACACTGCTATCCACCACCTTTACAGCCATAGGTCATTTCAGTTCATAAAACTAAATTATGTCAGTCAAAATAAGCTTAGTATAGTGGCACATGCCTTTAATCCCAGCACTCGGGAGGCAGAGGTAGGCAGATCTTTGCGTTGGAGACCACCCTAACCTACATAATAAGTTCTAGGACAGACAGAGCTACATACTGAGACCCTTAAAAAAAAAAAAAAAAAAGGCTTAGACATGCAATTTCCAATAGCAAGTACCTATGCAAATTGACAGAAATATCTTTATTTTTAGCATGTCATGGACTTCCTAATGAAAAAGTATTCCTTTCATGATATGTGACTTCATGTTTATTAGATTCTAACAAAAGATTTTTCACATGGGCCAACATCACCTAGCTAAAAGAAAAAACTTTTAGAAAAAGATAAAGAATAAATTCCTGCTGGGTAGTGGTGGCACATTCCTTTCTTTAATCCCAGCACTCGGAGGCAGACGTCTGTGAGTTCAGGGCCAATCTGGTCTACAGAGCAAATTCCAAGGCAGACTCTGAAAGGTTACACAGAAACTCTGTCTCCAAACAAAAAAAAAAAAAGAAGAATGAAAAGAAAAATAAAATCCCACCAGTAAAAGGAAAAAAGAGCCAAATAAGGAAGCCAAGTGTGATGATAAAGTGCAAGTTCACAAGCAAGAGATGGAGGTCTCAGTGGTCAAGACCATGTATTATGGACCCAAGATTAGTTACCAGCCCAGACATGGAGTGGCCTTTAACTATAGCTCCAGGGAACTCAATACCCTCTTCTGGCCTCTACAGGTACTGTACTCTGCACACACATCTTTCATGACATAACCGAAAAAAAAAAAAATTAAAATGTAGGTTTACAATATTTAGAGCCAAGTAGCAAATATCAGTAGACTTCCCAGTCCCACCAGCCAAAATAACCACACAGAGACCATATTAGTTATTGATACTTAGCCAATAGCTTAATCTTGTTTCTGGTAGCTGTTAAATTAGCCACTTCTATTAATCTATGTGCTGCCTGGAGGCTCATTTACCTCATGTACTTACTTCCCATCATGCTCACTGGTGGTATCTCCTCTGACTCTACCCTTCTCCACAGCATTCTCTCTGCAATGAAAATCCTGTCTTGCCATCGGCTAATGAGCTTTTTATTAATGAGAACAACAGATCTTCACAGTATACAGAAGGATTATTCCATAGCAAAGTAGTTTTATATTTCTACTTCACTAAGTCTCTTAGGTCCTTTTTCTGGATAAATATTTTTAAGTATTAAAGTGACTACAAATGAGAAAAAAGCCACTAAAGTACTTACTAGCCTCAAGGCTTTGAACCAGTTGGGATAATGTGGCAGAAGGAAAGTTTCATTATGTAATGCTATCCCTAAACCTATTATTACTATGACTATGGCTTCACTGAGTCTTTCAGAAAAGAGGATGGCTATCCATGAAAATAGAACAGGACTCATACTACTAGCTAAATTCATGTAGTCTGGTTTGGCCGGACTACTTTCTAGCAAAGCATAACCCCATCTGACCCCTCCCAAGAAAGCTAGGAAACCAGCTCCATAAGCCATCTGAGTAAAAGCTAGTATGGGGAAATAAGACTTTGTTATGACCATAGTGACTGGTGGAGCAATAAAGGGGATTAACCCCACCAGACTTATATATAATGCTGGCTTTGGGCTATCAGGTAGGTAAGTGATGGTGCTTGGTGTCTTGGAGAGAAGGAATGCTTCCTTCTGATGTCTTTTAAAGTTGCATGGTGATGCATGATAGCATTGTATCTTCTTCATACACACTTGAAATGATGTAGAAAGCCAAGTCCTTGGAGACAAAGGGGAAAGATTCTGCTGAAGAGATGTCTTGGAAGAAAGTATATCTATTCTGCTGGCTCTGAGTCTCACTGTAGAAGGGTACTTTAGCATCTATAAAGGAAATAGAACCAGGAAAGAGAGTTTAAAAATAACATGTGGCACACAGACATATATGCAGGCAAAACCCCATATATATAAAATTTTGAGATTGGAGAGATAGCTCAGCGGTTAAGGGCACCGACTGTTGCTCCAGAGGACCCAGGCTTGACCATTCCCCCACCTCCATGGTAGCTCACAACCAGCTGTAATTCTAGTTCCAAGGACACTGAACACCCTATTCTAGCCCCTACATGCACTGGTACACGGACATATATGTAGCAAAACACCCATACACCTAAAAATATTCCTTTCAAAATTAAAAAGGAACAGCTATTTAAGAATCTTGATAAGCCCTCAAAGACATGCTAAGAATGATCTCACTTGGCATTACTCCTTTTGTCTCCAGTTAGAATTTTTTCTTTCAGCTATCTACAAGGCCATTCTTTCATTTCTGACTTATAAAAGTCCTATCTTTATTTTCTAGTAGGATTTATTCTTAGGTGTGAGTGTGTGCCTTCACAGGAAGCATCAAGTCTTCTAGAGCTGGAGTAACACTAGTTGTGAGTCACCCAACATGGTTGCTGGGATCAAACTAAGGCCCCAGCAGTATGTTCAAGGCTGAGCTATCTCTCCTGGTCCTGTCAATTCTTGATATTCCCTATCCTCCTTCCCTAATGTATGATTCTCCAAAGCAGTTACTACTTGACATAGTAAATATTTTACTTATTCATAATTTATTCACTGTTGTTCTTCCTTACTAGCACACACATACACACACACACACACACACACACACACATACACACACACACAGAGCCCTAGCCAGACAGTTATGGACAAATAGTGCTCAACTAACCTTTGAAGAGGCTCCAGAAAATCTCTGGAAGAAGTGAAGCATACTGGTCTCTATTCAGAGTCTTGTTCCAGAAGATGCAGTTCTGATTAATATATTTTTACAACTAATTGATCCAGCTGAATTTGAAGCAAAGGTGCTATACAGAAAATAACATATCACTTAGTTGTCCTCATTTTATACATTAATTTTACAATAGTAATAAATCATGAAAATCTCTTGGATGGAACACGGTTTCTTTAAAAAAAAAAAAAAAAAAAAAGAGTTTTTCCCCCAAAGAATAACACATAAAATAAGATTTTTTTTTTCCTGATCATTTTTAGTTTTGGCTGTCCAAAAAGAGCACTGTGCAGAAACTGAACATATGAATTTTAGTAACCATCTCTAACACTTCCTTAGATGCTAGTTTTCTCATCTTTAAAATTAATGGTCATACCAATCTCTTCCCATTAAATATCTATCCTCTTTAGTTATTGTCTACTTTGGAGCTATGGAATTTTTATACTTCGAATAATGATAGCAGCCACAAATATAGCTTAGTTGTGAACCAGGCATGGTTAATTACATGTTTTTCATATATTATCTGTACACCTTTTGGAACTTTGTAACCACTGTAGCACATGGTTTTGAATTTGGAAGTATTTCAAGAAAGTGTTAGTCTGAACGGCAAGCACTTCGGAGAATAAGGACAGAAGTTCAACGCTCAATTCTCCCAGTATAGTGAAAACGATCAAATGTTTTCATGTCGCCGATACCACACTCAGAACCTTAAGCTGACATTTTAGATAGGAGAATTTAAATGCAAGGATTCGTGAGACGCCTAGGCTGACAGGACAGCTATTTACCAGCCCTTAGTGACACCCCAACCACCTCCTGCCCAAAGTACACCCTTTATATCCCTTATTCATACTTGCCACTATCGCGCAGCGGAAAAGTCGAACAACAAATTCACCAAGAAACACAGAAACCGCACTTCCGGCGACTGGAATCACACAGCCTCCACACTTCCTGAGACTAGAAAAATGAGTCCGGGTGGAAACTTAAAAGCTCCGACTTTCCTTCTTCCGTTTTTGTGCGCTTTCCTCCCTCAGTTATATTATTTCTAATGTGCGATCGTGCACTTGAGGTGCAGATCCCCTACAGTATAAGTACTGGGAGCTGACCCTTGAGCAAACTCTGTAGCCCCGGAGGCTAGTCTAAATTTAATTCTATTGATGTCGACTTCAAGGTACCTTACTAGTCTCCAGGATTTGTAACCAGCAGAATATATTTAGCAGTTCAGGAATGTAGAGTACAATTTCTGAAACATTCTTATGAATGATAGTGGAAGAATTTAGAAGGAGACTTGGAGTTTTCCTGTGTTATTTGGACGAATTAGTATCTACGGAGCTTTATTTTTTCTTTTTAAAGACAAGATATCATTTAGTGTGTTACTCTAATGGGCTGGAACGCTTAACTTTGCAAAAAAACAACGGGGTTGAGTCGACTGGACCTATCTTCCCTTTTTTCGACTCCTATTACTCGGCAGGGGTGAAGGGAACGATTCTGTTTTTACTTCCATTCTCTTTACTAGTACCTAGAAATTACATTGAGAAATACAGAGGCCTAGGAGCAAAATTCACAATGAATTAAGTTGTGGCGGCGTTAAAGACCTTGAGCTTGGAGGTCATCCAGGAAGTCCTTTTTTTTTTTTTTTTTTTTTTTTTAAACTTATTCACTGTAAGTGCCTCCCATCAGCTATTAGTCGGCCAAAGGTACAGGCACCAAGCAATTTGAGCATTCTTGGGTCTTTGTGCAAAAAGCTGAAAACAAAAAGGAGCTCACTTACATAGGGGCCCACTGTGGCCAGTTCCTCCACTCTTCTAGGTAGGACAACTTGCAGATGCGTTCCCGTGTAGTATTGAGAGTCTCGGGCAGCTATCAAGGGTTTCGCATTTATTCCCTTGTGCCGCCTCTTCCTGTCATGCAATACCCCAATGGAATGCTAAGAGACCCAGAAGTCTATTAGCAAAGACCAGGCTGGACCAGAATTCCAACCTGCGCCTGGGTGGCTCCAGTACGCCTGCAATGTCCAAGAACTACAACTCCCGGCAGGTAGCGCGCCCCACACCGCTGCGCATGCCTCTAGTGCTGAGGTCTATGGTTCGCCGAGGGCTGGAGTCTCAACGACGCGTGCACGTGGAGGAGGAGCGAGAGGTGTGCAGGGGCCGGAAAACACGCTGTCCCATAACTGGTTTGCTAATTCCGGTAGTTGGCGAAACATCTGGGTTACAAGTGAGGTGTGAGAAGGTGAAGAAAGAATGGGCGGGGAAGAACTGGTGCAAATATACCCACCCACATTTGCATTCACGTGCTCCCAGGCCGGAGTCCCGGCAGGGAGCTTTAAGGGGAAGTGCTGAATTCGGCCTGCGAGCGGCGCGAGGAAAGGCGAAAGGCTTTGCCGAAGGGAGAGCCGGCCAGTCTAAAGTCGCACTGAAGGGCGCCGGGGGCGGGGCGGGAAGTAACCGCTAATGGAGCGGCCCAACGTTTGCAGAGCGAGCCGCGGGCGCCCGTGCAGGGTCACCGAGGCATGGTCATGCGCATGCGCGTGCGCCTTTGCTAGTGGGCGTGTGGGAGGCGGGTCGGAGCGGCAGAGGGAGGGCCCCGCTGGTTGTCGCTCCTCCTCCGCCCGCTCTGCCCCCTCCTGTGCCTTGTGGGCCGGGCAGCCATTTTGGGAAGAGCTTTGTTATGGTTGTGGGCTAGTCACCTCTGCTGGTCGGAGAAGCTGGGGACGCGTACTTTGACGCGGCGACTCGCCCTTGACCGTATCCCCGCGGCTGCCGGGTGAGTGCGAGTTGGGGACATCGAGCAGAAGTGGACCTCGAGTCGTCCCGGCACGGGCTCTACCGGCTGCCTGACTTAGCGTCTATGAAAACTAGTTGGAAGAAGGTCTTGCACAGGTGGTTGGGTGTAGGTCCGCCTGGGGCGGATGAGAGGAGCTGCGAGCCGTCTAGGTGGAACGTCCCCCTCCCCCACGGGAGGAGCCTTGCACACTAGCGTCGCCGCGGCGGTTCCAGAGCGCTCCGACTTCAACTTCGGTTCTGGGTCGGAAACGCTCACCTGCGGCTGCCGCTGCGGCTGCGGCTCCGGCTCCTTAGTGGTGGTTGAGTGGCTTCGTTTACTCGGTTTTTTTTTTTTTTTCTTTCCTTAAAATAAGAGGGGAAGGCTTCTGTTTTCCAGTCAAAGAGAAACAACGATACGAGACAAAAAAGTCGTGTAAGTCAAATGTGTATCTGGGGGAAAGGGAACTTTCACGCCCGGAGTCCGGGTTCTCCGGGGTGGTGAGACCTTTTCCCTCAGATTTTCTTACCAGTTATCTACCACACTCCGTCCCATTGGGAAGGAGGATTTGTCTTGAAGTGGCCTAACTAGTGATTTTTATTCCATGCTAAATCTCCCCAACCCATAAAATTAAAAAAAAAATAGTAATTTAAAATGGCTGTAGCCTGGGGAAGTACCCTCTTTAAATGTTTAAATACGGAAACATTTCGGTCGTTTTTCCTTACGGGACATTAGCTGGCCCTTTTTGCAATTGGTCTCTTTGGAGAGGTAAAAACAAAGGTGAGTGAGGCTCAGGAAGTTTACTTCAGAAGTTTACATAAGAATGGGTGCGGTTTTTTGTTTTTGTTTCTTGGTAGTGGCGAAAAGTACTGAAATTCTGCTGGGGTACCAGTTTTTCTGCCGCTTCTGTGACCTGAGGTTGGCTTGTATATTGTATTGAATAGTTTGATATTTCTTGCTTACTCGGAAGACCTGAAGTTAGTGGCTGTTATGTTTTTTGTTTAGTAATCATCATCTTTCCTTTGTAAATCTCATTAGAAAATGAGAGTTACACCTCGGGAGACGGAAATTTGTAGTTTATGGAAATGTCATTTTTTTTAAGGTCGTTTCATTTAAGATTCCACGAAGTTTAGGTATTTATAAAATAACAATTTTGTGAGTGAAAACATCAGAAGTGAAATGCCAGGTGGTTGTGCCTTTAAAGGGGGGGATGGGGATCTTTCTGTTTGTTGCTCAAAACAAGCGAACAGAAACCCACACCGCAAGAAGTAAACAGAAACAACAGGAAATTTTAGTTTTTGGAAAAGTGATTGAGTTGAAGTTATCTATTCAAAAATTAAAATAGGATGCCAATTGTGAATGGAGCTTTAAAATCCATTCACAAGATAAACTGATCTTTCAGAGAGTTGGTTTCAATTGCTTTCATGCATTCTTTTATAAACAGGAAGGTTTTTGTCTGTTCTAGGAACTTTATTTTATTTGTATGGGTATTGTGCCTGCATATATGTCTTGAGTACAGTGAACATCCCCTAGAATTGGAGTCAGACATTTGTGAGCTGCCATGTGGGTGCTAAGAATCAAACCTGAGTGCTCTGCAGGAGCAGCCAGTGCTCTTAACTTTGTCTCTTCAGCCCCAGGGTTCTTTATTTTATTGGTCTTCGAAGAAAATCATGTAAAGTTCTTTTCATGAATTACAATTGCTTTCGGTTTTGACCTTATTACTTATAGTATTTTGGAGAGGCCTTACTATAAATTCACTTTTACTTTTTTTCTGAGGGTTCTCAAAATGGTTTGCATTTGTTCATCCAAACATTCTTTCAGTTTATTATGGACAATGTTTTCAGGGTTCTTGAAATTGGGGAGAGGTTTGGGAAGCCTTTATTTTGAATTTAACATTTTTTAAAGATTTGATTATTTATTATGTGTACAGTGTTCTGCCTGCATGCCAGAAGAGGGTACCAGATCTCATTATAGATGTTTGTAAGCCACCTTGTGGTTGCAGGGAATTGAACTCAGAACCTCTGGACAAGCAGCCAGTTCTTGTAACCTCTGAGCCATCTCTACAGCACTTAATTTAACATTTCTTATCTTTGTTTGTTTAAATCTTAGTTGAAGTGAAGGGTATATTCAACCACTATCAATAATTTGCACATGATAAGAAATCTTGGAATGTATTGTGTGTGTATACATGTATACATACATACTTTTTTTTCTTTAGTCTTGCTTTGTAGGTTGGTGGTACTCAGCTTTCCTACTGTTCCAGTAATTACTAATTACTGAATAGTACAATACTTCCTAATAAAGTTCCTTATGTTGTGTTGATCCCCAACCCAAGATTTTTTTTTTTGTTGTTGTTTTTCGAGATAGGGTTTCTCTGTGGCTTTGGAGACTGTCCTGTAACTAGCTCTTATAGACCAGGCTGGTCTGGAACTCAGAGATCTGCTTGCCTCTGCCTCCCGAGTACCATAAAATTATTTACTTGCTGCTGTTATGAATCATAATGCAAATATGCTGAAATTAAAGGTATGCACCACCATACCTAGCTACTCTTTATTTCTAAATTGGAGAAATTGAATCCATGCTACAAGCATACTATCTCTGTGCTATATACCACCGACCTATAATTTATTTGTTTTTATTAGTTTATTATGTAATGTGCATAAGTGTCTTGCCTGTATGTATGTATGTATATGCATCACATGTATGTCTGGTGCCTTCGGAGGTCTGAGGAGGGCCTTGGATTGCCTAGGACTGGAGTTACATTTGGTTATGAGCTATCATGTGGATTCTTGGAATTGAACCCAGGTTCTCTGTAAGTGCTTTTAACCACTGAGTCAAATCTCTAAGCACTATAATTTATTTATCATTTTTCAAGACTGGTTTCTCTCTGGAACTTGCTCTTTTAGACCACTGACCTCAAACTCAAGAGATCCACCTGCCTCTGCCTTCCAAGTACTGGTAATTAAAGTCAAGTGCCACTGCCCAGCCCTGTATATTTTTAAATCCTCATTTAATGATAAAACTCAGTTCTAAATTTTCTTTCAGAAGATAGCATATCTTAATTTTATGGTTTAAGACCAGGGAGAGGCTGTTGCCCAAAATTTCGTTTCTTTGAGACAGAGTCTCACTGTATAGCTCTGGCTACCCTGAAACTCTGTAGACCAGGCTGCCTCCATCTCCCAAGTTCTGGGATCAA